AATGTAGACTTCTAAGTTGTACTAGATGTGAATTGTAATAAATCTACTTTTTATTTTTGTGGAAAAAATAAAAAGCTTTGCTCTCAAAAAAAACCCCAACCAACCAACCAACCAAACAAAAAAACCCCATATAGTTCTGCATTTTAAGAAGATTGCCTGGTGGCAGCTAGGTGGTGCAGTGGATAGAGCATTGGGCCTGGAGTCAGGAGAACTCGAGTTCTAATCCAGCCTCAGACCAGACCCTTGATGCTTATACTAGCTGTGTGACCCTGGGCAAGTCACTTAACCCCAATTGTCTCACCCCTCAAAAAAGAGAAGAAGATTGCTTTGACAGGTAAAAGGAGGATGGACTAGACTGGGGAGAGATTTGTGGCAGGGAGACCAACCAGCAGACTCTAGAGATAATCCAGGCATATAGGTGATTAGGGCTTTTACCAAGATGGTAGTGGTGTCATAGGAAAGAAGAGGGGCCTATATGAGAAACGACCATATAAAGATAGGACTTGGCAACAGATTGCCAACTTAGCAATGGTGAGAGAATGAGAAGTTGAGGATGACACCTAGGTTTCAAGTTTGATTGGGGGGGGGAATATTCTCAATTTAATAGTGAAGCTTAGAAGGGTGAGAGTTTTGAGGAAAGACAATGAGTTTAGTTTTGGACATGTTGAGTTTAAGATGTCTTTGAGATATCTGGTTTAAGATGTCTTGAAAACAACTGTCTTGTTCATTCCATAGATATAAAAGAGACTTTGGAGACATCTCCCTCCAGGTCCCTCATTTTACAGATGGTATGGGGATTAGGGAATAAGCATTCCCTAGTACTGCCAAGCACTGTGCTAAGAACTTCTACAAATATAATTTCATTTGATCTTCACAAGAACCCTGTGGGATAAGTGCTATTATTATCTCCATTTTAACAGTTGGAGAAACTGAGGCAGAGGTTAAGTGATTTGCCCAGAGTCATATAGCTAGTGAGTGACGGAGGCCAGTTTTAAACTTGGGTCTTCCTGATTCCAAGCCCAGTGCTGGAATCACTAGAGCCACCAGCTGCCTCTATTGAGGACTGATGAGAAAACTGAGACCAAGGTTAGGAAAGAGATTTGTCCAAAGTCACATGGACAGTATGTAGTGGAATCAGAATTTGAATCTATGTCCTTTGACTTCAGATCCAGTATTTCTTTCCATTATTCCACACTCCTCCTTGGATGGTAACTACATCCATCATTGTTCATTACAATTACACAGACTGTTAAGCTTTCTTTTAGTGTTAACTTTTAGTTAACACTTTATTTTAGTGTTATTTTCATTTACATTATTGTAATTCTTCTATCTATTGTTCTCCTGTTCCTGTTTACTTTACTTTGAATATAAGATCCTTGAGTACAAGAACTGTTTTTCATTTTGTCTCTGTCCTCAACATCTGGAAGAGTTCCTGGAACACAGGAAGCTTATTGAACTGCACTTTTTTATAAAAGTTATCTGCTAGATTGTGACCTTGATGACAGTCAGCCTGTAGAATGCTGGCTGTTGTGTGTGTCCTGGAATCTGAACAGCTTCACTTTGGCTTGTTTATATTTTGTGTTATCCCCTTCCTTCATAAGCCTCCTGCTTCTGTGACTAGGTGGCAAGTCTGCTTCTCAACAGCAGAGGGAGTCAAAGCCCTATGCATTTGTAGGTGGGTCAGACTCCTATGTATATGTGTTACGAGAAGGACTTGAAACTTGAGCATTTGGGACACTGGAGGAAGTAAGAGCAGTGTATACCAGGCAGGGGAGGAGGGGTCAAAGATATGTGAATTTGGAGAGGAGGACCTGTGAGAGCACCTTGTGGCTATTCACACAGAAGGGTTAGGGTCTGCCTCTGTCTGGAGAGCAAGGCTGTGGGTCAGAGTTGTGTGTGTAGAGAAGGGGCAGAGTTGTGCATGTTGGGGAAGCAACAAACATTTATTAAGCTCTTTCAAGGGCCAAAGTGATGTTGCCTTAAAGTGAGGGTGGGGAGGTTAAGGAGTTGGATTTATTTGTTGGAAGGACAAACAGTTCAGGGGCCAGATTAATGAATGCTTAGAGGGGAATTGGAGGTGGGGCTGGAGCCATGGGGGAAGGTTTGGAAGATTGAGGCTGTGTGCATTAAGGAGACGGGATTTAGAACATTGCATGATAAGTACATCAGAGATACTTATCTTTACATGAAAAGTACATCAAGTCTCAAGGGACTACGGGGGTGATTAGGGCTTCCTGAGGGAGTGAGAATTTAAGTTTGGCATTACTACCACTACCACTACCACTACCACTACCACTGCCACTACCACTACCACTACCACTACCACTGCCACTACCACTACCACTACCACTACCACTGCCACTACCACTACCACTACCACTGCTACTGCTGTTGTACTATGATAAAAAATTTTTTTAAGTATATATAGATAGACAGACAGATAGGTAGATAGATAGATAGATAGATAGATAGATAGATAGATAGATAGATAGATAGATAGATATACTATGTGGCAAGCACTGTTCTGGGTGCTTGGGATGTAAGACAAAAATGAAACAAACTCCATTCTCAAGGAATTTTCACTGTATACTGGAAGACAACACAGCATGTACATATATGTAAGTATATACAGAATAAACATCTCCAGATAAATGCAAAATAAACACAAAGCAGTTAAAGAGGGAGGGCACTAGAAGTTAGGGGTGGGGCTCAGGAAAGGTTTGGGGTAGAAGGTGATGCTTAAGTGGATCCCTGAAGCAAGTGAGGGATTCTTTACAACTCTGACTACCAGGGAGGCAGTGTGGTTTAATGGAGAGAGAGCTGGCCTCAGATACAAGGAATCCTGGGTTTAAAAGCTGTCTCTGACACCTACTGGATATACGGCTCTCCTCAAGTCATTTAACCTCTCAATTCTCCCAGAAAGATCTCTAGGACAATAAATTTCAGAATAGGGAATGATCTGCTTCAATAGAGGAAATATTCTACAAAGATGAAATCTCTGGTAAGGTCATAGTTCCCATTTGTTTAACACCTCACAGTTTACAAAGCACTATCCTTAAAGCAGTTCTGTGAGGAGGTAGTGTAGGTATTATTCCCCATTTAACTCAGGAGGAAATTGAGATTCAGAAAGATTTGTCTAGTTCCACACAGTTAGTAAGAACGTAATTTGAACCCAGGTCCTTTTGAATCAAAATCCAGTTTTCCCCCCCCGTAATACATTAGGAAAAGGAAGAATCCGACCTGTGCCGACAATTGGACCTCAATACACTTTAACAGAGGCCGAGATCCTTCACGGAGTCCTTTTCTTTCCCACCCACAGCAAGGGCAACCACTAAACTGGGCTTCGGGAGGGGTCTCAGAGAGTAGCCAACGCCCACAGGGGATGCTAGTCCAGGCTCTTTATCCCCGCCCATACCTTCCCCAATCCAGGAGGTGAAGGGAGGAACACGAGCGAAGCCTCTGATTGGCTGACGATGATGTCATAGGTACCACTGCCTAGACAGCCTAGAGCCCTGTGGGGAGGGGAGCCAAGGCTTTAAGATTCCTGGATCGCATCCCTAGGATCCTGGATCTGGATTACCCACTACCTCCTCCACCCTTTCCTTGTGTCCGGACTTCTAGCGCTACCCTCCCAGCCCTTGGGTCTTGCCTTTCCCCGCCCAATATTACGCACTAAATTGTTGCTGAAGGATTTAGCGGGCCCAGGGCTAGCGGAAGTCTAAGCCATCTGGCAATCGCCTTCTTCCCCGTAAGTCCAGAAGACAAAGAGGCGAGCGCCTCTGGGGGGCGGGGTCTCTCATTGTGCTGATGAAACAATGTATTTCTGATTGGAACTTTGGATATCGACCTTCTCTTCTATTTGCGCCTCCGCTCATTAGCCTACTGGGTATGGATGGTGCCAAGAGCAGCCGCGATTTGGGAGGAGTGGGACTGTACCATTAACCATCACCAATGGAATTAGGGAGCAGAGGGTTATGATAATGTCTTCTGTCTCTTAAAGAGTTAAATGAGAGGGCTCAGATCACTGGGTTCTTGGAGAAGCCTCTTTCCGGACAACCCTACCAGGCCAGCGTATCCCAAGTGTTGTTTACCCAGCTTGCCACGGGGCGGCCGCTGGCTTCTCAGTTTCTTTAGAGCTCCTGTAGAAATCGCAGGCTTCACTCCTAACCCTCCACGCCCATCCAACCCAAGCTTAACTAGGAAGAATGGGTGGGCGGAAGCGTATCATCCATCGCACGGTCTCCGGCAGACTCAGCGAATGTTAAGTTGGCAGCTTCCAAAGAGTAGGGTCCAAACTGTTGCTGGCTTAATTCAGTGCCAAAGACCGCTCCTCAGAGATTCCCCGTCCTACATAGACTGAGGAAGTGGTCGAGATCCCAGAAACTTCTCTCGGACTACACCCTTCAAAGTCGTTAGAGATTTGTGGTTACTTATCTTACATTTCTATGCATTTGGGGATGGGGGACACATGAGGAGTTGGTAGAGGGTAACGAAAGTAGAGAGGGCAGAGGTTTTTTCCCCCTTTTTGTCTCTATTTGGAGTCTTTCCCTCCAGGATAGAATTTGTCCCGCTCCAATTCACACTTTCCCCTTCATTACTTAAAGGGGTCTTTCCCACCCTGAACTAAAGGAGAAAATCCTTGTCCTTACTCCCATTGCCCTTCCGACATTCCCAAGGGAAACTCCCCAAAAGGCACACAACCTACGCTCCCCTACCACGCTCCAACTTTAGATGCAGGAGACCGGTCGCTACAGGCTCTGAAAGCTGGGCTGTAGGGTTCTGGGCACTAACTCTTCAGTCCCTTTAGGGCTCCGGATAAGGTGGAGTCAAAGGAAGGGAACTAAATGAGCAGGAGCAAAGTTCGCCGGGGCGGTAGGGGTGGGGAACTGAAGTGGCATAAGTTGGAAGTAATGGAAGGTGGAGGGTGACACAGACAGCGGAAGAAGGCAGGTCGCGAGAGACTCAAACCAAGAGTCCATTCAGTACCATAGCCAGCGCCAATGCCCTCAACCAAGATGGCAGCAGAAGCATCTGGTGCACAGGCTGCCATGCGCGGCGGGCCGTACCACCGGGCGTCGGGGATCGGGGCGGGGGCGGAGCGGACCATCGGGGCTACCGGGAGCCATGTTGGAGCTGCGGGAGGCGGCGGAGGCGGCGGCGGGGATGCTGTGGCGGGGGCAGCGGGGGCCAGGGCAGTGGGCTCGGGCTGCACTGGCGGCGGAGTAGATGGTGCCCGAGGGGCGGCGGGGGCGGGGGCGTGGAGCGACAGGGTGGGGGTCAGGGGACTGGGGTGGGGGCCCGGGCGGCGGCGGCGGCGGGGGGCAGCGGCGGCGGCGGGGGCCCGGGCGGTGGGGTGGGCCCGGAGCCAGGGAGAGGGACGGGGGCAGCAGAGGCCAGGCCGGGGGCGGGGGGCCATGGCGGAGGGGCTGCCGTTCAGGGGGCTCCAGAGCCGGCCGCGGCTACTGCTGCTGCTCCTGTTCCTCCTCCTCTCTTTGTTCCCTCTCAGCCTGGAGGAGCCGGGGGGCAGCAGCGGCGAAGGCCGCGGTCTCAGGGCCCGAGAAGAAGCGGCCAAGGGACCCGGGGAACAGGGCGCCCATGGAACCTTAGCTCTTTGTCCCGAGATTCGTGGAGCCCTGGAGGCTGTTGGCGGCGTTGGTACAGCCTTCCCCCGGAACCCTACGACCCCGGAGGGACAGCGGCTTGGGGAGGGAGGAAAGACTGGCCCACGAACTAGAAGCGGTGGCCATGTCTCCTCAGGGCTCCCCAGGAGTGGCCGGGGGACCTTGGGTCTGCGCCATACCGAACAGGGTCCTCAGCCCCGGGAGGGGTCCCTGGGGACAGGCCCTAGGGAGGAGCGGCCGGCGGGACCGGGATCCGGGCCCCTACTATGTTGGGCTCGGGAGGTCATATCTTGCAGGAGGCCGGGTCCAGGGCGCTGTCTAGTATCTGGGGGTCAGTCCCCAGGGCCCTTGGCCTCTGGGAGGGGAGGCCCGCCCCATGCCGGCAGTCTTTCTGCAGCTCTTCCCTCCAGGCTCCGCTTTCCCAGATCCTCTCAGGCTTCAGAGCCTGGTCAAAAAGTGCATGGAAGCGGACGGGAGCAGCTGGGGACTTTGCAGGCTGTGAGCTGTGGCAACGAAGCATCCCGGCTACGGCGAGCTGGAGAGCCGGCTTCAGCACCACGAGCTTCGGGGACAGCTCCCGAGACCTTCGCCCAGCGCAGGCGCCTCCGCCCGCGCGGCTTGCTCTGCTGTGCGCCCCCCAGCGTTCCCCTTGCCCGTTCCCGACGTGCAGCGAACCGCCACCCTCACTTTCCCCAGTACAATTACCAAGCACTGGTGGCGGAGAACCAAGCACCCGGCACTCCCGTGCTGAGCGTGGCGGCCCAGGACCCGGACGCAGGGGAGGCCGGCAGGCTGATCTACTCCATGGCGGCGCTCATGAACAGCCGCTCCATGGAACTGTTCCGCATTGATGCCGCCAGCGGCCTCATTAGCACTGCCGAGCCACTGGACCGCGAGAGCATGGACCTACACTACTTCCGAGTGACAGCTCTGGATCACGGCTCTCCGCGCTTGTCTGCCACTACCATGGTGGCTGTCACGGTGACTGATCGCAACGATCATTCACCGGTATTCGAGCAGACAGAGTACCGGGAGACAATTCGGGAGAACGTGGAGGAGGGGTACCCTATACTGCAGTTGCGAGCCACTGACGGGGATGCAGCTGCAAATGCCAATATCCGGTACCGTTTTGTGGACGCACCTGCTGCACAAGCTGTCTTTGAGATTGACCCTCGTTCAGGCCTCATTACCACTAGCGGTAGAGTGGACAGGGAGCAGAAGGAAAGCTATGAGCTGGCTGTGGAGGCCAGTGACCAGGGCGGGGAGCCAGGGCCCCGTTCTGCCACTGTGCGTGTGCATATCACTGTCCTAGATGAGAATGACAATGCCCCCCAGTTTAGTGAGAAACGATACCTGGCCCAAGTAAGGGAGGATGTGCGTCCACATACGGAGGTGCTCCGAGTTACAGCCACAGACCTCGACAAGGACACTAATGCCCTGGTTCATTACAACATCATCAGTGGCAATAGCCGGGGTCACTTTGCCATTGACAGTCTCACTGGTGAGATCCAGGTGGTGGCCCCACTAGACTTTGAGGTAGAGCGAGAATATGCCCTGAGGATCCGAGCTCAGGATTCAGGGAGGCCTCCTTTATCCAACAACTCTGGCCTTGCCAGTATTCAGGTGGTGGACATCAATGATCATGCTCCTATCTTTGTCAGCACCCCCTTTCAGGTGTCTGTACTAGAAAATGCCCCTCTGGGCCACTCAGTCATTCACATCCAAGCTGTGGATGCTGACCACGGGGAGAATGCTCGGCTGGAATACAAATTGACTGGCATGGCCCAGGACACACCCTTTGTAGTCAACAGTGCCACAGGCTGGATTACAGTAAGTGGGCCCCTGGACCGGGAATCTGTAGAGCATTACTTTTTTGGGGTGGAGGCTGTGGACCATGGTTCACCCCCACTTTCTGCCTCAGCTAGTGTTACCATTACTGTCATGGATGTGAATGACAATCGACCAGAATTCACCCAGAAGGAGTACCACCTTCGGTTGAATGAGGATGCAGCTGTGGGCACCAGTGTCCTTAGTGTGACTGCTGTAGACCGTGATATCAACAGTGCTATCAGCTATCAGATCACTGGGGGCAATACCCGGAACCGTTTTGCTATCAGCACACAGGGGGGTATGGGACTGGTCACATTAGCCTTGCCATTAGACTATAAGCAGGAGAGATACTACAAGCTGATATTAACTGCTTCAGACCGCACCCTCCATGACAACTGCTATGTGCATATCAACATCACTGATGCCAATACTCACCGGCCAGTCTTCCAAAGTGCCCACTATTCAGTCAGTGTGAATGAAGACAGGCCTGTGGGCAGCACAGTTGTGGTCATCAGTGCCACAGATGATGATGTGGGTGAAAATGCTCGAATCACGTACCTCTTGGAGGACAACCTTCCCCAGTTTCGAATTGATGTAGACTCTGGAGCTATCACGCTGCAGGCTGAGCTAGACTATGAGGACCAAGTGACTTACACGCTTGCCATAACGGCCAAGGACAATGGTATCCCTCAGAAGGCTGATACCACCTATGTAGAGATCATGGTCAATGATGTGAATGACAATGCCCCCCAGTTTGTGGCCTCTTACTACCCTGGTGTCATTTCTGAAGATGCTCCTCCCTTCACCAGTGTGCTGCAGATCTCAGCTACTGACCGAGATGCCCATGCCAATGGCCGGGTCCAGTACACCTTCCAGAATGGTGAGGATGGTGATGGTGACTTCACTATTGAGCCCACCTCAGGTATTGTCCGAACAGTACGGCGGCTAGATCGGGAGAGTGTTCCCGTGTATGAACTAACTGCCTATGCTGTGGACCGGGGTGTTCCCCCACTTAGGACCCCTGTTAACATTCAAGTGACTGTCCAGGATGTTAATGACAATGCCCCAGTTTTCCCGGCAGAAGAGTTTGAGGTCAGGGTGAAGGAGAACAGCATAGTAGGATCAGTAGTGGCCCAGATCACTGCCATTGACCCTGATGAGGGCCCTAATGCCCAGGTCATGTATCAGATTGTAGAGGGTAACATCCCAGAACTCTTCCAGATGGACATCTTCTCTGGAGAGCTGACAACTCTCATTGACCTGGACTATGAGACACGACCTGAGTATGTGATTGTGGTGCAAGCAACCTCAGCTCCCCTGGTCAGCAGGGCCACTGTCCATATCCGCCTCATTGACCAGAATGACAATAGCCCTGTCCTCAAGAACTTCCAAATTCTTTTCAATAACTATGTGTCCAACCGGTCCAATACTTTTCCATCTGGGATCATTGGGCGGATCCCAGCCTATGACCCTGATGTCTCTGACCGCCTTTTTTATACCTTTGAGCGAGGCAATGAACTAGAGCTGCTTGTAGTAAACCAGACCAGCGGGGAGCTTCGACTCAGCCGGAAGTTGGATAATAATCGTCCACTGGTGGCTTCCATGCTTGTGACAGTAACAGGTAAAGGGCCCAACTACACTCATGGGGAGGGAAATGGAAAAATAGACTCTGCAGAGTTGGCTCTGGAGAAGGCAGGCAGGGCTAGGAGGGACTTAGGCTCAGGCTTCCGTTTTCCTTTAGAGGAATGACTCAGATAGCCATTGGTACAGCAGGGTTTGCCATCTAGACAGTCTGGGTCAGTGCTTATCATAGTATTATAGAATTTGGAGCTGAAAAGACCCTCAGAGATCATCTAAGAGGACTTGGGGTTAGGAAATCTGGGTTCAAACACTGACTCTGATCCTTATTATCAGTAAGACCTACAGTCTGTTTGTAGTAGTTGCTCCTTAATCAAATTAAATGGTGTAGGGGCATGAGATCTGTAGCAAGGAGTAGTAGAAAAATCCTGCAGTGCCTTGCCTGTCTTATTCTGTTTATAGCCTCTCCACCATCAACTCCCACTTGATTGAGGAGCCTGTGATCTCATGAATTGTATTGTGGTTTGAAGTTAAGAGGTTTGAAGCCTTCTCAAAGAAAGGGACTATTTCCTGGGTTAATGTGGAGGTGGGGGGAGGCCTGGCTTGGAATCAAAAGACCTCTATGTGAATTCTGGGTCTGTTCCCTCCTCCACTAGCTGTGTGACAGTGGGCATAGAGTTGGAGTCACTTTCCTTCTCTGGGCCTCAATTTCATTATATGTAAAACAAGGGAGTCAGCTTAGATGATCTCTAAGGTCCTTTTCAGGAGCCTAGGGACTCAAGGTGGCTGGACCTCTCCTCAGGAGACCAAGCTCCACTTTCTAGGTCATACTGGGAAAAGAAATCCCTGGATACCTCCTTCTGTGCCTAGCACAGTGAATTGTGTATAGTAGTGGATGAATGAATTAGACAACAATCATTTATTAAATTCAGTTGTACACAAAACACTGTGCTGGGGTGGGCGAAGAATATAAAATCTACAGAGGGATGGAAGATGGGGTTTCTCAAGTCACCCTTCAGATTCTCGTGAGGTTCCTTATGTACCTCACTTTCCCCACTCATAACACAGGAGACTGTTATTGGCCTCAGGTGGCATACGTAAAGTGCTTGGAGATCCCATAACAGTCCTATCCCCTCAGCTCTCACTTCTTTCCTACTGGCTTTTGCTTGACATCCTCTATCCCATATAAGAAGGGCCCACTGAGTCGTCCACTCCCCATTTAGGAAAGGGATTTTTGGGCAGTGGAGTGGGGAAATAAGGAAGAATGGTGTAGTGGAAAGAACATGGACTTTGCAGGCAGAAGACTTTGGCTTGAGTCCTGGATCTGAAAATTCCTGGCTCTATGACTTTGGACAGCTTCTTTCCTTTTCCTGGCTTCCATTTCTTAATCTCTTCACTGAAGTGGCAACATAGTTTTCAACTTTCATGGACAGAGGTTGCTCCCAGTGTTTGAAAGAAGGTTCCAAACCTTTCTAGACATTGACTATGTGATCATAGGCAAGTCATTAACCTCTCTGGGCCTTGTTTTCTTCATTGGAAAAATAGGATAATAATACCTGCAGTATCTTTCACCTTGGGTTGTTGTGAGGCTCAAATAATTTAATGTATGTAAAGCATTTGCAAACCTTAAAGGACTGTATAAATTGTTGTTTATTTTGTCTGATTCTATGTCATCTCATTGACTTTGTCCACGGGGTTTTCTTGGCAAAGATATTAGAGTAATTTGCCATTTCCTTCTCCAGGGTGTCCCCATTTTGCAGATGAGGAACTGAGGCAAATTGGGGTTAAGTGACCTGCCCAGGGTCACACAGCTAGTAAATGTCTGAGACTAGATTTGAACTCAGGACTTACTAACTCCAGACTCGGGGCTCTATCTGCTGTTACCCAGGTGCCCCATTGTATAAATATTAGTTAGTAACAGGGATAGGGACTAAATTTGTGATTTTACTGGTAGAAGGAATTCACTAATAATCAAACCCCCTCTACCAATGCAGGTTGATACCTTCTCTAAGTATAGACTTAAATGATTAAATCAGTGAGGGGTTAAGTGACTCTGTCAGAAGGGAGACTTGAACTCAAGTTCTCTTGACTCTAAGCTCAGCTATCTATCCACCGTGGTCAGCTGCCTCTCCAAGCATACTGTCAGACTGTTGAAGGATAATGTCAGTTACTATCATTAAACAGAGAGGTTGGACTATATGGTTTCTAAGGTTTCTTGTCTCTCTAAAGCCTGGTGTTTGGCTCCAGGAGGTTGGGGCAGAGTGTCTGCAGCTGTGGCTGAGAAGTCACAGAGCATTCTGTCTGAAAGACAACTGGCTGAGTGGGTAGACAAGGAATTTTATTTTAATCTAGTCCATCAAAACGCAGGTTTGTGGGAGGAGGAGGCAGTGGTTACTGTCCTGGTTGCTATGTAAAAGCTCTGTGCTGTTCTCTGGCCTATGATCCCTAGGAATATTCATGAGATTGTAGCTCTGAGACCTGGCATATCCCTGGGGGGCAAGATCCAGCCCCTTTTCTGCTTCATTCTGTGAAGGAATATCTGTGACCATCTGCTGCTCCCTTGGGGAGGGGGTGGTGCCCTGACAAGGCAGCTCAAGCCTTAGTGAAGGATGTGGGGGTGATGGAACAGTTGAGTGACAGTTCTAGACCAAACATTAGATTTTGTGATTTTCTGCCCATTAGTATTATTTGGACGTCTCTTCGACATTAGTAGGGAACAAATCTCTCTGCACCTGCTTCTGTCTTCAGTTCTATGTCTCGTCTGTCAGGAGCTCCCAGAAGGTTAAGGTTGTCCCCCACTGAAGTCAAAGTTTGCCTAGGGCATTTCCCCTCCCCCCACCCCCACTTCCCTCTTAGGGCCCAGGCCAAGTCTCTCGCTGACACTGTTTCCGCAGATGGTCTCCACAGCGTGACCGCGCAGTGCGTGTTGCGGGTCACCATCATCACGGAGGACATGCTGGCCAACAGCCTGACGGTGCGCTTGGAGAACATGTGGCAGGAGCGCTTCCTGTCCCCGCTGCTGGCCAGCTTCCTGGAGGGAGTAGCCACCGTGCTGGCCACGCCCAAGGAGGACGTGTTCATCTTTAACATCCAAAACGACACGGACGTGGGCGGGTCAGTGCTCAATGTGAGTTTCTCGGCGCTGGCGCCGGGAGGGGGCGCCCCCGGGGCAGGTGGTGGCGGGGGCCCCTTCTTCAGCTCCGAGGAGTTGCAGGAGCAGCTGTACGTGCGCCGGGCCGCCCTGGCTGCCGCCTCGCTCCTCGACGTGCTGCCCTTCGACGACAACGTGTGCCTGCGGGAGCCCTGCGAGAACTACATGAAGTGCATCTCCGTCCTGCGCTTCGACTCGTCCGCGCCCTTCCTGGCCTCCGCCTCCACCCTCTTTCGGCCCATCCACCCCATCGCCGGCCTGCGCTGCCGCTGCCCGCCCGGCTTTACAGGCGACTACTGCGAGACCGAGATCAACCTGTGCTACTCCAACCCGTGCCGCAACGGGGGCGCCTGCGCGCGTCGCGAGGGCGGCTACACGTGCATCTGCCGCCCACACTTCACAGGTGAGCGGGGCGGGGCCGGAGGCGGCATCCTGTGCCTAAGTCCCTTGCCTTCTTCGCCCTCTCCAAGGTAGCGACGGGGGCCGAGGCCAAGAGGCGGAGCTGAGTGGGGCTCGTGGGCGCGAGGGCGCTGGCTTTTGAGTCTCCAGGCCTTGGCCCGCGAGTGGAGGGGAACACCTGGGAGCACGGAGGGGCGGAGCGGGCTGGGGCCTTCTTCACCCGGTTTGCTTCCCTGCTCCTCACTGTGAGACAAGTGGAGCCGTGCTAGGGATTACTGGATGGGGTGGGGAATGGTGAAAGGTCTTGGTACCAGGGCTGATGCAGGCGCCTCAACCACAGCCCCTCACTGAGGAGAGGCTGGACTGTGGCTGGCTCCCATGCCTCCTCCCAGACTCCTCTGACCTTTTTGGTCCCTGGGGTAAGGAGCTGGTCTTCGGAGCTGGAGGGGGGCCTCCTCTCAGGGGTGGTGAGACTGGAGGTGACAGAGCCTGAACAGATTTTAGAGCTGTAAGACACCCTAGGTGGCGTAGTAGTTAGAGTTCTGGACTTGGGAGTCTTGAGTTCAAATCTTGTCCCTTTCACTTATTATCTGTATGACTCTAGGCCAGTCCCATAACCCCCAGTTTCCTCATTTGTACGATGCGGATAATAAGCGTTGTTGTGAGGATCAAATGAGGTAACACGTATAAAGTGCTTTGTAAATCCTGAAGCCCATCAGCTGTTATTCTCATAGTTCATTTTACAGATAAGGAAACTGAGGCCCAGAGAAGTTAAGTGACCCATCTAAGGTCATGTAGCTAGTGAGTGTCTGAGGTGGGGATTTGAAACCAGGCTCTCCTGACTCCAAACCAGGGTTCTTTCCATTATTCTCATACTTGCTGGTTCCTGGAGCTTTGGGTGCTTTATGCCCTTGTCTCAACTGTTGGGGCCAGGCCCCCCACTTTTTACTTTTCTCCTGTGCTCCTTTATTCTCAATTCTTATGCAGAAGAAGATGGCCACAGATTCCATGCTTCTTTCCTTGGGTCCCTCCTCATGCTTTACTTCATCACTTTGGATTTCAAACCAAGGGTAGCATCTCACATAGCCTCGATATCCAAGGCCCTAGCCTGTTGTCTCTTTCTGATAGAGAGCAAGAATGGTGTAATTATAGGGTGCTAGCCTTGGAATCAGAAAGACCAAGGTTTGAATGTTGCCTCAAACACAAGCTCTATGACTCTGAGAAAGTTAATTAAACTCTCTGTGTGGACCACAGTTTGCTCATCAGTAAAATGAGAGATGTGGATGTGATGAACTTTGAAGTCCCTTCCAGCTCTGAGTCTATGATTCGATGACAAACCTCTCTAGAGCACCCTCCCCCCTTTGTCTTTGGGCTCTTCTTCCCCTGATTCCTCTAGTTAGCTCCAGTCAGCCCTGCCTAGGAATTTTTTTCATGGCTCTCCCACCCTCCTCCTTTCCCCTCAATTTAACAGACAGTAAATAAACAGTTCCTAATTTATTAGAAACTAATTTTAGTCACAGGGAATACAAAATAAATAAGTTTGCCTTCAAGGAGCCTATCATCTAGTAAGCTGGACACAACTTGTGCTTTATAGCGGTATCTAGCACAAAGCTTTGTACATTCCTACATGCTACATTTATGGCTCTATAGACCTGAAAGGGACTTGAGAGGGCATCTTGTACAACCTCCTCATTTTACAGATGAGGAAACTGAGCCCCAGGAAAGTTATCCAGCATCTTGCAGTTAGTAAGAGTCAACGGTGGGATTTGAATCTAGGTCCTCTGACTCTCCAATATAGCTCTGCTGTTCACCTGCTTGGATTGTGTTTGACCTAACCCTGAGGCTCTTTACTGAGTCCTTGACCCTACTATGGAAGCCTGAGGTGCCTATTTGATACTATAGATCGAAGGTATCAATCACATGGCTTACTGGGGGCTCTTGGAGTGCTGCCAGAACCAGATTACAATGTAATTGGGAAATATTTAACAAAATTAATAAAAGTGGGGTAGCTAGGTGGTGGTGCAGTGGATAGGAGTACCTGGAGTCGGGAGGACCTGAGTTCAAATCCATCCTCAGACACTTGACAACTACCAGCTGTATGATGCTGGGCAAGTCACTTAACCCCATTACCTAGCAAAAATAACAACCACAACAAAAACAAAAGTGATTCCTTCAGGGGCAGCTAGAAGGCACGGTGGCTAGAGCACCCCAGCACGGGCCCTGGGGTCTGGAAGACCTGAGTTCAAATCTGGTCTCAGACACAGGATACTCACTAGCTGTGTGACCCTGGGCAAGTCACTTAACGTCAATTGCCTCGCCAAAAAGAACAAAAACCAAACCAACAAAATTAATAAAAGTACAATAAAAAATAGATAATGTTAACATGTGGTTTTCTAAGTCAATACACAGCACAGATCCTTACGTACAGTTTAGTGACTCTCATTTGTATTTGAATTTGACACCACTGCTCTAGATAATCGATGTTGTTGGCCTCTAGGTGAGAACTGTGAACTGGATAGCAGAGCTGGTCGATGTGTGCCCGGTGTCTGCCGAAATGGTGGGACTTGCACCAATACACCTTCTGGTGGCTTCCGTTGCCAGTGCCCAGGGGGCGGGGGCTTCGAGGGGCCCTACTGTGAGGTAGCTGTCCGATCCTTCCCTCCTAACTCCTTCCTCATGTTCCGGGGCCTGCGCCAAAGATTTCACCTCACTCTCTCCCTCTCGTAAGTGTCCTTCCCTTGTGTCCCTTATGTGTCACCTAACACGTCTAGCTCATCACTGCTAACAATGCGCCCCCTTTCCCCTGCCTGCAGCACTGGTGCACATCCTTGTACCCGCTAGGCAGCGTTCCTACTGATCAATCCCTTCTCACTCAGCTCTGAAATATCCTTGACTTATCTTGATATGAGCCCCTTGGCCACCAAGGAAGAGGGATGGGAGGTGGAGAATAACGATGAGAGACTAGCCTGTCACCTGTTCTTGACACTTCCAAACTTGCCAGTACTATAAGCTGTCAACCCCAGACCTCTTAGTGCCACAGTTCTCACCCTGTTACCCCCAAATATCACTTTCAAACTTTTCCCTCCACATATCACAATTTTCAATTTGTCATCCTTACAACTCATCACCTTTTCAGACAGTCACTCCTCAACTCAGCCCCCAGCCTCTTTTCTCCCAAGCCTGTCACTCCCAAAGTCACTTCTCCCAAGCAGCCCCCAATCTCAGTGCCTCTAACCTATTACCACCAAACATCACTGCTCTGAAATAATGTCCAGCCTGTGAACCCCACGTCACTGTCCCCAGTCCGTCACCCCCGATGTTGCTGACTTTAAATACCTCATCTAACTTGCCACCTCTTAAACCTGTTATTCTCAAATGTCCTCCACCCACTGACTTGTCAGCCTCTCCTTTGTCACCATACTCTTATCTCTCTCCTCCCTCTAATCCCTTCTCCTTAGTGGCCAAGGGGCTCATACCAGTATGGAGTCAAGGGTATTTCAGAGCTGAGTGAGGAGGTTAATCAGTAAGAGTGCCACCTGATGGGCACAAGGATGGGCAATTCTAAGCTCCAGTGTTGGGGGCAGGGGAAGGGGGGCTAATTTTTGGAATCCTTCTGGATGGTGTTGGGTGTATGACTTTGGAATCACCTAGAGGTCCCCTGACTGCTGTGCTTTTCCTTCTCCCCCCAGGTTTGCCACAGTGCGGTCCCATGGGCTCCTCTTCTACAATGGCCGCCTCAATGAGAAACACGATTTTCTTGCTCTGGAAATTATTGCAGGACAAGTGAGGCTCACCTACTCCACGGGTGTGTGCATATCCATGTGTGTATCCCTGCATGTGTGTTTGTGTACCCTCATAGACTCATAGAATATTAGAACTGGGCAGAACCATGGAACATAAACTGTCAGAGCTGAGAAGGACCTTATACATCATTCAGTCCAAGGCTCTCATTTTACAGATGGGGAAACTCAGGCTCAGAGAGGCCAGTGACTTGGCCAAGGTCATGCAGTTAGTAATTCTATATGGGGTTGAGGTGGGATGGCATCTTTTCTTAAAGGTGGTGGTGGTAGTTGTAGGTATTAGTTTATAGTACTGAGCACTTAGGACTCTGTGGGGCACGTGTATAGACAGTGAGTATCGTCTACCCCATAGATGACCCCATCTCTCCCTCATTATAGGGGAGTCAAGCACAGTAGTGAGCCCCATAGTGCCCAGTGGTGTGAGTGATGGGCAGTGGCATACAGTGCAGTTGAGATACTACAACAAGGTGAATATTTTTTTGTTGCTTTCCAGACCTTCAACTCTTCCTAAATCCCCTCATTCCTTTTGGGCCAGTCCTGCCTCAGTCAGTTCCACAATCCCTCCAAACCTTCTGACCTTCCTTTCCCCAAGTCCTGGTGGGAGGATGAGCCCAAGGGATACTGGGTAATATTAATAATGATTATAATGAGGGTGCCCAGGTATTTTCCTGGGTTCTCATTGTCCCTACTGATAAGGACTTTGCCTTTGTTGTATCCCTAGCAAAGTATGAAATTATCTTGGCACAGTTATTTCCTTGATATGGTGTGAATTCCTTGCTTTGTTCTGGGTTGCTTCATTAACACCATCTTGAGCGTAATTGATTCATGGCTAGTCCATACACTTAGGCTGCACCTTTGGACTTGGTCTTTGAAGGAGAAAACAGAGACACAGGGCAGAGAGAGTAAGAACCAGAGCTGGAAGGTCAGATTAAAAGAAGCCAGTAAGACACAAGTAGGCTCAGTTCCCTGGGGGAAACCTGTCTTGGCTTGTCGTCCCTAGAGAATCACGTGCCCTAGGACATCTTTTCTTAAACTGTGGTCTAGAGTCTAGGAAACCATGAAGTCCCAAGGAGGAAAGGAGGCAGTGGTCAAGTGGTAAGGAATTACTGGACCAAGCCTCCTGGACCTAGCGGTGGAGATTCTGGATGAAATGAGAGCTGGAGCTGAGGGACAGCAAGAGTGACGATCAAAATGGGGTTTTCACAGGTTCAAGGAAGAGAACTCCAACCTCCCTGAGTTCTTTCACCACTTTGGGGGTCCTCAACCTCAAGGATAATATAAGTCAGGAGGACTGTATACGTCGCTAGAAGATCTAGGGCTCCTTAGAGAGATAATTTACTTACCTCTAGACCAGTGGTCTCAAACTCAAATAGAAACAGAAGCCACTATTAACATTATCTGTGTTCTATTGTATTTTTATTTATTTTGCTAAATATTTCCCAATCACATTTTAATATGATTTGGGTCACAGTGGACACCTCTGTTCTAGTCCCACCTCCCCATGGAACTTATCCAGTTGTCTAGACATATAGCAACTGTTGCTGTCAGTTGGTTATACTTTCCTCATCCTTAGAGTTAGTACTACAAAAATTTGCGGTCCTTTGAGAGTCAATCCATCTTGCACAGTCCACATAACTCACAGTACCAGTGTAGGGCAAAGACTATGTTTGCTCCTCTATATTTCTGCTGTAGAGTCTTCTGCTGCACCTTGGGTTTCAGCTCCTTCTTATCATAAGCACATCCTACAGTTGGTTTAGGAGGAGATCCTCCATTGCTCTGCTACTGCTGCTGATCCAAGATCTTGCAGCTCTGAGCTTGGTCAGGAACATCTTGCCACTAAATCACTGCTTTTGTTTGCTGCCACCCCTGGGCTTCATGCTTCCCTATGGCACATGGTTCCCTGAAGGGGATGTATGACTGCAGAGACTTCCTCCTAGGGGACCAGTCTAAGTGTATCTAACTGGGTAATCTCCAGGATGACCTCCCAGCTCTGGTCCCCTCTCTCTCTTTCTCCGCCCCTGTGTTTCTGCTCTCCCTTTTAAAGGCCAAGTCCAAAGGTGTAGCCCAGGTGTATGAACTGACCATGAATCAATCAGTCATCCTTATGTGGTGTCAATGGAGCAACCTAGGACAAGGCAAGGAATTCACACCTTATCAAGGAGGTAACCTTGCCAGGGCAATTTCACACCTTGTTAAGGATACTCATGATAGAGAGCCAAATCCTCCTTAGGGGGAGCAGTGAAGAGCTAGGACAGTACCTGGGAGCACTCAGGACATGTTTATAATGATAATTATTATAGAAAAGGAAGGTATTGTTGTTGCTATTATTGTCACATCTGTGGGGTGTGAAGGACAGAGACAGATGCTCTAGGGAAAACCTGGCCAGAGGGTGGGGTGTCTTGTCTCTTTCATCGTGGACTCCTCTGAGTCTCTAATAATGCTGTGCCCTCAGCCCCGGACCAGTGCCCTAGGAGGGGTTCAGGGCCCTTCCAAGGACAAAGTGGCTGTGCTGAGCGTGGATGAGTGTGACACCCCCGTGGCCCTGCAGTTTGGGGCTGAGATCAACAACTACTCCTGTGCAGCTGAGGGTGTCCAGACCAGCTCCAAGAAGTGAGCCTCCTGCGTGTCTTTGCCTGCCTTTCTTGGCTATCCCCTATTTCCTGTCTTCCTACCTTCCTTTCCTATCTCCTTAATTTCCCCTTTTGCATTTACATCCAGTGGAAACCTGATCCCCTCATCATCTTCACGTCCATCTCTTCCCAAGGAATGCGCAGATCAGCCCCAAGAAGGGCAGGCCTTCCCGGAACTGCCCTGTCTCGTATCTCCTCCTTAGGTCACTGGATCTGACCGGACCCTTGCTCTTGGGTGGTGTTCCCAACCTGCCTGAGAATTTCCCTGTGTCCCACAAGGAGTTTGTAGGCTGCATGAAAGATTTGTTTATTGACAGCCGCCGTGTGGATATGGCAGCTTTTGTGGCCAACAATGGCACCACTCCTGGTATGACCTCATCTGTACTCATAGGAACACCTGTGTCTCAAACCCATTTGGAACCTCCTTGATAATCCTATCTCAACCCCTTATCATAGCCAACAGTGGCACTTCTTCCAGTATGGCTCCCTAGGACCTGCTGAGTAAGCCCAAATCCCTGTGGAGCACTGACTTCTGTTAACACCCTTCTTATCAATCTATGTTCCCCTCATCACCTATTCTCCCACCTAGAAAGGGGGGGGCACAGGAATTGAGTTTGGGGGCCTGCCCAAAGAGCTTGGGAGCCCAAGCAGAGGGCAAATGGCTCCCTCTTCATACCTGTGTTTTGCTTCCTTGCTTGCCCCAGGCTGCCAGGCCAAGCGTGCCTTCTGTGTCTCCAGCCCCTGCCAGAATGGTGGTACCTGCTCTGATGGCTGGGCTGGCTTCCGATGTGATTGCCCTGTGGGCTTCGGGGGAAAAGACTGTGGGCTTGGTGAGGGACGCTGCTGGGAGAGGGAGGTGCAGTGGAGGTGGGCAGGGGCCGCAGGTTCAGGATGGAGGCCGTAGGAGACATGGGGGTGTGGCGGAGGATTTTGGTGGGAGGGTGGGATATTGTGGGCTCAGGCACAGGGGGAGGGATTTACAGGGCAAAGACTGTTAGAAGTGGCACAGAGAGGGGAACCACGAACCCACACTGTGAGGGGGAGGGTTTGGATATCCCTTCTTCCTCTTTTAATCCCTAGCCATGGGCCATCCCTACCGTTTCCATGGCAACGGAGCCCTGAGCTGGGACTTTGGGAGTGAAGTGACTATTTCGGTGCCCTGGTACCTGGGGCTGGCATTCCGGACACGGGCACCACATGGGGTCTTGCTGCAGATTCAGGCCGGACAGCACAATTCCCTCCTGTGCCAGGTGTGACCATGACCCCTGATCCCTAACCATCACTGCCCATCTAGGCTAGGCAACAGCCTTCCCTGCTAGGCTAGTTGTGATCCTCCTGACCCTTCCTGAGTACAGGTCCCCGATACTGATTTTCTCCCATTCTCATTCTGTGGTAAATGGGAATGTCCAGATTTCTGTATTGTCAAGTGCCACCCACCACGGGACTGGCTTTCTCTCTCCACAGCTGGAGAAAGGACTCTTGTCCTTGGCGGTGGACAGGGGCTCTGGCCGAACCACCCGCTTTCTGCTGGACCAGGTGACGCTCAGTGACGGGCGGTGGCATGACATCCGTCTGGAGCTGCAGGGCGGACAAGCTGGGCAGCCTGGGCACTATCTTCTCACGGTCACGGTGGATTTCGGCCTCTTCCAGGTCTGAGGCCACTTCTTTGTCACCCTGTTTTATCCTCTGCCCCTATAACATGTCTGTCATCCGAACCTGGACCTAGTTCCCTCGGTTACTCAGGATCCCGAGTAAGCCCTCTCTTCACTGGCCCTAGTGGGTTCCTATATGTTCCTGTTTCTCATAACCCAATGGCCTCTCAAATTACTGTCACCACCAGCCCTTTCTCCCTCCAAGGGGTGGGCCGAGAGTTGAGTTGTAAAAGCATCAAAGGTTGCCCTCAGAGAAGGGAGAAATAAGCTGTCTTCGGAGGAGACTCATAACTGCATGAAGGTTGTCACAGGTCCAGCAACACCAGGGTGGTAACTATCTTCTGGAGGTGGGGGAGGATCTTGGTCTCTTATTCCCCCTCCTTGCAAGAACTGCCTGAGTTCCATTCACTCATTCATTCATTCATTCATTCACTCATTCATTCATTCATTCATTCATTCAACAGATGCTTACTCTGTTCAGGTTTGGGTGCTCAGTCTGAAGCTATGGAGATGAAAAAGGAAATACCATCCTTGAGGAACTTATACTCTGATAAGGGAAGGGGAGAGGACTTATTTTCAAATAAGTGTACAATAAGCAAAAATGCAATGGGGCAGAACGCTTTAGGACAGTTTGTGGAGGGGCTGCAGCTAGGGTAATCAGGGAGGACAGAATAGAAGAGGCAGCATCTGATACAGAGCTTGAAGGAAGAGAAGGCTTTCACCTTGCCCAATCTGGGAGGAAAGGACTCCAGGAATGGGGTGTGACTAGGTGTAAGATGGACAGATGGACGAGATTACAGAATGGCCCTGTGTGGCTGAACTGTAGAGGGTGTGAAGAAAGGATAGGAACGTAGGCTGGAGCCATTGTGGGAAGCCTCTGAGTATGATGTGGCCAGGCCTGGCTGGGCATTAGGAGGATTAGCATCACAGAGGTTGGCTGTGTGTGCAGTGGATTGAGGAGCAGAGAGAACACAGGCTGAGACCAGTTAGGCTAAAAGAATAATCCATGTAAGAAATGATAAGGATCTGAATTAGACCGTGGGGTCACTCCCTGGCCAGTGTATTTAAGTTTTGGACTGTCAGTCCTGTTTGTTTTGAGGATAGGGAGCCAGGCAAGCTGGGCTGTCTGAAGTGATTGTTTTTTTTTTTTTTTAGCAGAAGGGCATTCAGTTATTCTTCCTCATTCCTCAGCCACCTCCTACCCTCAGCTCTGTTCCTGGTGCTCTATGGCCTAATCTTATGCTGACCTGAAGCTCCTTCCTTTGTCCTCCCTGCGCAGGACACCATGACGGTGGGGAGTGAGCTGCATGGGCTGAAAGTGAAGCACCTCCACGTTGGGGGCCTGCTGAAGGCCCATGATGTCCATCGGGGCCTTGATGGATGTATCCAGGTAAGGAGCCTACCTAGCACCCCCCCCAAAGCCATGGGGTACTGAAGGGGAATCAAGCTGGGAAGGGAGAATCTGAGGGGCATCAGGTGACCCAGAAACCTTGGGGGCAGGAAGCACAGGCTTCCTGGGAGACAATTTGATATAGTCTGGGGGATAGGTGTGATGTCAGAATGGGTAGAAGAGGACTATTTTGGGGAGGAAGTCTTGTTTGAGAGAGGGTACTCTGCCTCAATGCTGGGAGAGATGTGCTCAGGACTAGGGGGTGAGTCTTGGGTTCTGAGGGGAGGTTTGGTAGAGTAGGGATGGGACTTGGTTTCCAGTGCTGTGAGGCTCTTGCTGAGGATGGAAGGTGTCAATCTGGGAGTCTTGGAGTAAGGGGTTTTGGGGCTTGGAGGTATTCTTGGTGGAGTCCAGAGGTCTCATTTTGGGAATGGGGTGGTTCTCAATCTCATGTTTGGGGAAGGTGTTGGGCAGGGGACAATCTTGGGGCATTTGGGATCAGGGCAATTGCTCCCACTTGGGGCTTAGGTAGGCTTTGTGGCTCTAGAATTTGGGGTACAGTGCTATATCCCCCAGTGACCCATCTTCTGGCAGGGAGTGTGGCTGGGCACCATGCCATCAGGGGCCCCAGCCCTCCCTCCACCCAGTAGTAAGATGAATGCAGAGCCAGGCTGCAATGTGCTCAGCCCCTGTGCCTCCAAGCCCTGCCCCCTGCATGCTGACTGCCGGGATGAGTGGCAGACCTTCTCCTGCGTCTGCCACCCAGGTAGGATTTCCTCATGGCTGGGCGGGGGAGGGGGTGTCTACAAGGGTAGTGTGGAAGGTGTCCTGGGGTTCTGGCCTAGAGTGGTGACCACAGGGTCCAGGGAGTGACAGTGTACCGTCAGAGAGACTTGGGTTCAAAACCTAGGTCTGCTACATGATCTTGGGAGAGTCAGTTGATGTCTTGGGGTCTGAGTTTTCCCTCCCTTAAAACTGGGGGATTGGACTGGATGGTTTTTGAGGTCCCCACCTACTCTAAATCCTGTGACTTGGGACAACCACCAAATGCCTTGATGTTACTATCCTGAGGATGGGATTAGCGTGCTGAAATGCTTCTGATTACCCAGGTTACTATGGGAAGGCCTGTGTGGATGCTTGCCACCTGAATCCCTGTAAGAACAAGGGTTCCTGCCAGCGGCGGGCAGGAGCACCTCATGGTTACGCTTGTGAATGTGAGGATGGCCACTTTGGACCTCACTGTGAGCATAGGTGAGAGGGCTGAGATTAGTATCCGTGGGGTTGAAGTGGGGGAGTGGTTCTTGAAACGCAGGCCCGGAGAGGCCAGAGATAAACCTCAGAAGGAGAATTCTGTTGTTGGGGGACAGTCAGGGGAAGTTCTCAGTGTAACTTCTGCTCCCTATTCCTCTGCAGAATGGACCAACAGTGTCCTCGGGGCTGGTGGGGGAGCCCAGCCTGTGGCCCCTGCAACTGTGATGTCAACAAGGGCTTTGATCCAGATTGTAACAAAACCAATGGGCAGTGTTATTGTAAGGTAAATGGGGTGGGGTACACTGTGTTTCAGACCCTGACTCCTCACCTCAGACCTTGACCTTTGACCCCTTACCTCTAATGGCTGCTACCAGTATCCTCTCCTCCTTTGATCCCTGAACTTGTTTTACTTTGACCTATGCTGACCCAATTTTTAGACCCATATCTTGATTTTCTTCTTTTGACTCTTGACCTCTGACCTTGACCCTTGCACCTCCCCTCTGACTCCTAATTTGGACACCCTGGCCATGACCTCCATTCTTCTTACCCACCAATTCTCGGCTCCTGGTTTCAGCTTGCCCATGACCTTTGACCCCTTAATCACAAATACCTGCCCTGACTTCTGACCCCAACTCCTATGACCCCTTCCCTAAGCCCTGACCTCTGACCCCAGGCCCCTGACCCCGTCCCCCCTTCAGGAGTTCCATTACCGACCCCGGGGGAGTGACACCTGCCTCCCCTGTGACTGCTATCCTGTGGGCTCCTCTTCACGCTCCTGCTCCCAGGAAAGCGGGCAGTGCCCCTGCCGGCCTGGAGTCATTGGCCGGCAGTGCAACAGCTGTGACAGCCCCTTTGCTGAGGTCACCGCCAGCGGCTGCCGGGGTGAGCTGGGGTTTCCAGAAAAAGCTGCTTTTAGGGATCTAGATATGGCTGTACAGGTGGGAGATACAATTTAGTGGTCTTTACTGTTCAAATCACTGCTCTGGCAGTTCAGGTGTGCTGCCACCAGGTGGCAGGAATGTGCCATAATCGTGAGCGGGAAGGCTTTTGCCTGCTTTCAGAAGACGCTATTTAAATACGAGTTTTCTTTCACTGTTGACACACAACTCTTGGTTCTGTTTGGCAAATGAACAATAGTAGAAATATGTACAAAGATGATGCTTTAAAATAAAATTTTTCAAAAGGAGAAAGACTCTGAGGATCTCAAGGGTTGAAAGGGACAATAGAGATCATCTGTTACAGAAAGAACTATGGGAGGTCAGCAAGAAAGGACCTTATAGCACAAACCTTCGAGGGACATGGAATGTAGCCTAACAGAGCTGGAAAGAACCTGAGAACACAGAATGTTAAAATATAGAAATTTAGAACATTAAGTATTGAAAACTACCTTAGAGGTCATGTACATCAGCCCTCCTATTTTGGAGAGATCCAGGGAAATAAATTGGTATAATTTGATATCTATCCTAACATTTCCTTTATGAGTGAGGTGGCATAGTCAGGAAGACCTGAATTTGAATCCTGCCTCAGACACTTAGTAGTTCTGTGACCCTGGGCAAGTTACTGTACTGCTCTCAGCCTCAGTTTCCTCATCTGTAAAATGGGGGTAATACTAGCACCTACCTTACAAGGGTTTTGTGAGGATCAAATGAGTTAACATTTGTATAATACTTTGCAAGCCTTAAAGTGCTTTGCAGATGCTATTATTATTCTTTGTCTGCTTATCAAAGCCCCAGTCTTAGATGTAAACCTAAGTAGGACTGTTTTCTTTATAATCATTACTTATCTTTAAGCTGGGATACAGACGTGTTTTACCAAGAGCTTTCCTCACAGCTTTGTGCATTTGGTAGTGCAAGTGTAATTGTCTCCTTATGACAGATGGGGGAGGATGGTCTCAGAGAAGTCAAGTGACCTGTCCGTTGTCCCACTGCTAATACCTGGAGGACAAACACACATCTCCTGACTCCAAAATCAGGGCTTGTTGCTAAGCTTTCTGGGGGGCACTGGGCTCTGCAGAATTGTCAGGGACTACTTCAAGACTTGCTGGCCCTCTCTGATCCTGGTTTTAGCTTCCTCTTCTCTCCCTTCCCAGTGCTCTATGATGGATGCCCCAAGTCACTGAAAGGTGGTGTGTGGTGGCCACAGACCAAGTTTGGGCTGTTGGCCATGGTACCTTGCCCCAAAGGCTCCCTGGGTAAGTGACTGTGGTTGGAAGTGATAGGTCCTCAGTGGGACCTGGGAGAGGGAGGGGACAGCTAGAGAAAAGGGAATATAGGGCCCTGGGATCCTGCCAACTTGGGGGGTGCCCATAATATGTGACAAGTTAGGCCTTAGGGGACATTCCTCTTAGGGGGTAGGAAAGGGAGGGGGAGATGGGAGTTGAGGGGATATGGTTTAGAGCCTCTCCTCTACCACCTCTGCTGCCCCTAGCCCCCTCACCTGTCATTTTTCCATTTCTCTTGGTTTCTGGGCAGGTTTGCGGGGAGCAGGTAAGTCCCCCCACTTTGTCCTCAGGGATGCTTAGGTCTCTCCTGCTGCCTTAGGTCCCCAAGAATCCTTTGCTGGCTGAAGTCCTGCCTGTAACCCTTCCCCCCTTACCACTTGCTGCCTAAATTCTTCGAATTGCCTGGAGTCTCTGCAGATCCCTGCTTTTCTTGGCACTAACAAATTAGTTGGTTCTCAATTATCCACAATGTGGTGTGGATCATATAGGGCTACTGCCTCCTTCCGACTGTGGGGTTGGATATGAATGGGTGTCTGTGTGTTTCTGAGAGTGGATGTGTGTGCTGGGGGAGGGGCAGCTTGTTTGTGTTTGCTTATACCTCCTTGCTTCTTAAATTCGATTCTAAATGATTTTTTAATTATCTGCTGGCTTAGGGTCATTTTTGCCTCTGCCCTGCTCTGTTAGTACAGGTGATTGAGAACTGACTTATAATGCTTATAATCCTCCCTTCCCCCCCCCACCTTGTCACTGTCTTCTGCATATGGTGCCACCAGGTTTCAGGAGCGCTAGATTTTTGCACCTGGAGGTTCTGGGGGGACAGGGGGTAGGGCTTCCCCTGTGGTGACCTGGAGGGGTCAGTCGTTGGAGGTCACTGGCTTCTCTGGCCCCGAGCTGGCTCTTGACTCAGGCTGTGTGGGGCCTTGGCTTGTGACTAGGACCTGGGGAACCTGGCTGCCCACAGCCTGGGGCTCTGACAGTGATGACTTCTCACCTTTGCATAGGTGCCGCCATCCGACGCTGTGATGAGGACAAGGGGTGGCTGGAGCCAGACCTCTTCAACTGTACCTCACCTGCCTTCCGGGAACTGGGCCTGCTGGTAGTATTTCCCTCACACACACCCCCTTCCTGTAATGAGGTGGCACAGTGGGTAAAACTTTGGGACTAGAGTCAGGAAGCCTAAGGGACTTACCAGATGTGTGACCTTGAGCAAGTCACTTAATCTCCGTTTGCTTGTTTCCTCATCTGTAAAATGGGGATAATATAACAGCACCTATTCCCCAGGGTTGTTGTGAGGATCAAATGAGATAATACTTGTAAAGTGCTTAGCACAGAGCCCTTCCTGGCGCACAGTAGACACTTAAGAAATGCTTGTTCCCCATCTACCTCAATATCCTCAGACTCCCTCTAGCTTTCTAGGAGATGCCTTTGCTAGTAGTACATCTCTCTCTAACCCCAGAGACCCCCTCCATATCTTCACAGCCTCCTGCATGCTCCACAGCTCCCTAATACCTTCCAACTTTCTGGAACTTGGCTCAACTGGTAATAACTCCTTCTTCCCTGGGCCACAGCCTCCTCCTGAGACCTCCCTAGTGTCTACCTTCCCGAAGCCGATGCTACTATGAATAGCCTCTTTCAACTCAGAACCAGAAATTTCTAGACCTCCTTAAACCCTCTAGTTCCCTCCCTTCTCCCCACCAACTCCATAGGCACCCTTTCCCCATGATCCTACTGGCTATTCCCACTCTGGATTTTGTGACACTAATAGTAGACCCCAGTATTGTACAGACATTCTTCCCAATTTGAAGGCAATATACTCTTGTACAGAGAACCCTGTCTATGACAGTTAGGTGGCCCAGTGGATAGAATATTAGGCCTGGAGTCAAGAAGATGTGAGTTCAAACATTTACTAGCTCTGTGAACCTGGGCAGGTCACTTAACCTCCATCTACTTCAGTTTCCTCAGCTGTAAAACAAAAGCATCTATTTCCCAGGTTTGTTTTGAGGACCAAATGAGATTATATTTTTAAAGCACTTAGGAGCTTAATAAAGACTTCCTTCCTTCCTTCCTTCCTTCCTCCCTCCCTCCCTTCCTTCCTCCTCCTCCCTCCTCTTCCTTCCTTCCTTGCTTCCTTCTCCCTTCTTCCTTCCTTCCTTCTTCCTTCCTCTCCTCCCTCCCTCCATCCCTCCTTCCTCCCTCCCTCCTTTCCTCCCTCCCTCCTCCCTCCTTTCCCTTTTTCCTTCCTCCCTGTGGAATGAGCAGCCGTTTCTCATTTGGAATGAGGTCAAATCCTGGCTTTGTGACTCTGGGCAAATCCCTCTGTCTCCTCTGAGTCCATTTTGTTCCGTATGACATAAAGAGGTTAGGTGAGGTGATTACTACATTCCTATCTAGCAAAGGTGTTCTGTGATCCCTCAGTGTCATCCTTACGCATAGTCTCAGTCTGCCAGTGGTCCTTACCCTGTGCCCCTTGGCGTAGGTATGGGAGGACTAGTAGAAATGGGATGATTCTGGGAATCTTAAGGCCAGGTGGAGATGGGGAGGAACAAAAGGGGAGCTTCAGAGTGACCCTTTGTCCCTTCTGCTTCGTCCTGGGCAGCTGGAAGATCTAGAGCGCAATGAAACAGAGCTGGACACCATTGAGGCCAAGAAGTTGGCCCAAAGGCTTCGTGCAGTAACCGGCCAGACTGAGCGATATTTCGGCAATGATGTCCACATTGCTGCCCGACTTCTGGGCCGGCTCCTGGCCTTCGAGAGTCATCAGCAGGGCTTTGGGCTAACTGCCACACAGGATGCCCACTTTAATGAGGTGACCCTGACTGTCCCTGCTGACCCTGATCCCTGATCCCTGAATTACCCTGGCTGACGTCCCGTAGAACTCCCATTCTAGGAAGGAGATCCTAGACATGCTTCTGACCCTCCTGATAACTGTCTGAACCCACCTCCATAGCATCCTGGTCACCACAACAATTCCCCCCTTCCCCAGCAGGATCACAGAAAATGAATGTCTGAACAAGCTGACTCTGGCCATTCCTCACTGACTTCAGAATCGGTTTATCTCTGACTCTCCACCATAGCTGATATCCCCACATTTCTATAGGAAGCCTATTTCAGTGGGATGACCCTAGCGACCCCTTGCTCCACTAACTTCTGATTCTATTTACCACAAGTCAAGACTGCTGATCTCTATCCTCTTAACCCCTGTCTGATACTTAACCCCACTTAAGGCAGCGTTCAGAGCTTTGCTTTAGGGAAATCAGCCTTCTTGCTTTCTGTCCCAGTGGACTTTGTTTTGGGGGAAAGGGCCTTGAGCTCAGAGTCAGAACTGGGGACCCCTGGCCCAGCTCCCTCTAGGCCTTGCTCTGAGGGGCGTTTCTGAGATACCATGAAGGTGGAATTGACAGAACTGATCTAGTCTGGATTGTGCTTGATAGATAAGGGAGGGGAAAGTCACGGAGAACCACAAGGTTTTGATCATATGAAACGAAATGAAGGGCAGAGCTACCGACAGAAATAGTCAAGTCATGGGAGCAGGGAAACTAGAGCTGGGCGGGGCCTCAAGGCCTGGTCCAGTCTCCTGACTTTATGGATGAAGAAACTTAAGCCCAGGGAGGGGGAGGGTTGGCCTGAGGTCACACAATGATAGCTGACATTTCTGTGGCCTTTTTACACAGTTATTTATGTTTATTATCCAATTTTCATCCTTACAACTGACTTGCCAGGTAGTCATGGATATCCCTCATTTAGAGAGGGGGAAGCTAAATCTCAGGCTAAGTGACATGCCCTGGGTCCCATAGCTACTAAGTGCCTGAGAACTTGCCTGATTCCCAATCCTGCAGTCTGTTCACTGTATTTCAACGGCCCTCACTCTGGAGCTCCTTGTGTTGGGTAGTGCTGGGGTTGTGAGTGGGAAAGGGTCACCAGAGCCCTCCTCACCATAACCTTCCCATCCCCAGAATCTACTCTGGGCTGGCTCAGCTGTGCTGGCCCCTGAGACCTGTAAGCTGTGGGATTCTCCATGGCCACAAGCCCTAGGTGGGACCCCAGCCCCAGGGGCCAGCGCAGGCCTCATCGAGCAGCTGGAGGAGTACACAGCAACATTGGCCCAGAACATGGAGCTCACGTACTTGAACCCCGTGGGCCTGGTGGCACCTAATATTAGTAAGCAGGGACTCCAGTGGGTGGGCGGGTGGGGGCCAGAAGCTCCCAGTGAGGAAGGAGGAAGGGAAGGGATACGCTTTTGAGAGGAGAAAGTGAACTTTGGCCAGTGACCTTTGACACTTCCTTTCCTCTGCCCCCAGTGCTCAGCATTGATCGAATGGAACTTCCTGTTCCCACTGTGGGGGGTCATCGATATCCTCGTTACCACGGTAGCCTCTTCCGGGGCCAAGATGCCTGGGACCCTCATACACATGTGGTGCTGCCCCCTCCAGTACCCCGGCCCCCACAGCCAGAAGGTAAGTCCCCTAAACAGGAGTACAAGCAGCACTAACGAGGAAGGGGATTTCTCGAGCCACTGTCTGCCCCCACAGAACAGCACCTTCCTTGGAAGTCACTGATTGTGTGGTACTGGTGGGGTTGTCTGGCTGATTGTCCTGGAGGGTCACTGACTGGCTTACCCTTTTCCTCCCCCAGCTCTGCCCACAGGTGGCAGCAGTGATGCCAATGGGACGGCCGAGAGCGTGGCAGGCCGAGGGGGCCCCCTGGAAGCAGAGCCGGGTCTCACCATTGTCATCCTCCTCATCTACCGAACCCTGGGAGGGCTGCTCCCTGCCCGCTACCAGGCAGAACGCCGAAGCGTTAGGTATGGGGGCCAGCTGAAGGGTTTGCTCTAAAGGGGAGGCTGGGTGGGTCATTTCTGGGGCCACCTGCACCCTGGGTCCCAGCAGAACAGGGTGTCAGGGCAAGAGATCTCTTCCCTAAAGACACTTTTAGTATGGGACCTAATCCCTTATCATTGTGGTATAGTGGCAGGGCTGATGAATTTGGAGTAAGGATCTGGGTTCTTCTCTTTGCTGAATGACCTCTGGGCCTCAGTTTCTAGATGTATAGACTCCACGGTCTCTAGAGTTGTTCCCTGAGTGTTCTTTATAAAGCAGCTTGTCCAGGTTGTCTCTTCATGTGGTAGTGGTCAAGGGGAGGGAAGGGAGTTGAATGGGAGTGTCTGTTTTTCTGAGAAGGTCTGGGGTCCTGAGGTTGTGGTGTTTATGCAGAGGCCTCATGATCATGGCTGCTAGGATCTAGTAAGCTCAGAAGTTGATGAAATCCTTTTTGCTCTCTGAGCATTAGTTTCTCCACCCGTACAATGAGGTCAGACTAGATGACTGTGAGACTTTGAGGCTGTCACTGGGGGGTTGGGTCGGTGTGAGCATAGCATGACAATTCTGAGACTCAGGTGATAATGCTCCTCCTTCAGGCTCCCCCGGAACCCAGTCATGAACTCTCCAGTGGTCAGCGTGTCTGTGTTCAGGGAGCGAAGCTTCCTGCAGGGCGTTCTAGAGTCCCCTGTCACCTTGGAGTTCCGCCTGCTGCAGACGGCAAATCGAAGCAAACCCCTCTGTGTGCAGTGGGAGCGGCCTAGCTCGTGAGGATGCATCCTTTCTTCCCCTGGCAACCCCCCTGGGGTGATCCTCAGAGCCATCTCTGTTGAATGATGTTGGCTTAGCCATTGAGGACCTGTCCCTCCCACTCTAGAATAAGCCTGTGGGTGGTAGAACTGGCCCAGCGCATGGGGATGCCCAACCCAGCACCCGCACACCCACTTAACCTTGCTCAACCTCCGGTGAAGACTCACCTTTGAAGAGGTTGGATCAGATGGTTTCTAAGGGCTTTTATAATTCTAGATTTTTTGATGTTATTAGTCTGTGTACTGGGATGGCCCATGAAAAGGTGCACACATTTGTCCCTCTCTCCACCCAGTCTGGGTGCAGGCACAGAACCTGCTACTGGGCATCTGGACACTGAACCCATATGTGACTCTCCACAGGAGTGACCCTTGGGGTGTGTGGACAGCCCGTGATTGTGAGCTTGTGCACAGAAATGGTACCCATGTGCGCTGCCAGTGTTCCCGGCTTGGTACTTTTGGGGTGCTCATGGATGCCTCCCATCGAGAGGTATGGGGACATCCATTTTCTTGGATGTCAAGGAACTTTCCAAACTATTCCTGAGTTAGATGGGAGTAGGGAATGATCGTCTGAATCCCTCATGGTTCTTGGTGGGAGGGGGCTCAGTTAAATCCTGGGGGCTTAGACTGTGTTAATGGGAATGTTATGTCAGAATGGAAGGTTTGCTCTATCAAAGAATTGAGGGATAGGTGTCAGGCTAGGGAGACAAAACCAAAGGTGGGTAGACTGGGGAGGGCAGAGGTCATGGCAGAAGCTTTACCTGGGTTTGTGTGTAAGGTCCCGTTCCTTCCTGACTGCCCCTCCCCATGCCCACAGCGTCTGGAAGGTGACCTGGCCCTCCTGGCTGTGGTTACTCATGTGACTGTGTCAGTGACTGTGGTTTCCTTGCTCCTGACTGTGGCTGTCCTGCTCAGCCTTCGAGGCCTCAAGTCTAACACCCGTGGGATCCATGCCAACGTGGCAGCTGCACTTGGCCTGGCTGAGCTGCTCTTCTTCCTGGGGATTTACCGTACCCACAACCAGGTGCTCAGCTGGGGGGTCCAAAGCTAGGAAGCCATCTGAGGCCTGGGGCTCTGTTGGTGGTGCTGATGGTGGGGAGTTTGGGGGACAGGTGGGCAGAGGAAGCAGGGGTCCACCCTACGGAGCTGAGGTTACCCTCTTCTTTCCTTCCCTTCCTCCAGTTCCTGTGCACTGTGATTGCCATTGCCCTACATTACCTCTTCTTGGGCACCTTCTCCTGGCTCTTTGTGCAGGGGCTGCACCTCTATCGCATGCAGGCAGAGGCTCGAAACGTGGACCTTGGGGCAATGCCTTTCTACTATGCGCTGGGTTGGGGTGTTCCAGCTATCCTTCTGGGTAAAGTGAACCCCTTCTCCCCTGAGAATTATTAGAGTAATTATAGCACTTGCTTTTATGTAAGACTTACAAAGGGCTTTCCCCTCAGCTGTGGGCCCATCTAGCACAAGAATTATTATTCCCATTCTGTAGATGAAGAAGATTTGAGGCCCAGTGAGAGGTGATTTACTCTAAGGTTATGCAGCTAAAAAGAAAAGTAGGATTCAAACCCAGGTCTTCTGACTTTGAATCTAGTGCTCTTTTCACTCTAACACATAGCACACACTGCCCTGGGTATTGTCCCCACCCCTGGTGGGTAACAAAGCCAACACCCCCTAGCCATCCCAGATGATGTGAGGCCCCCACCTATCATCACTGTCCAAACCAGCTCAGCCATAGCATCTGAGAAAGAGACCTGGATGCTGCCCTCAGGGAGAACAAGAGGGTGCCTGAGGCCTCCTGCTGTCTTGTAATTCTTTGAAGGGCTTGAACCCAGGCTTCCACGTTGCCCCACTTTCTTCTCTAATTCCCCGGCCTGTTGGCTCCTTGATCGCTGAGTGGGGTATAGATCACCCTTTGATCCAGGACACCTGGGTTCAGATCCTAGCTTTTCTGTGTCTTGTGGAAACCTGAGTCATTTCCCTTTCAGAGCCTCAGTTTCCTCCTCTAAATGAGGATATTTAAGTAGCTCCTCTCTAAAGTCTATGAAACCCAGGCTTCCCTTCACACACCTGGCTCCTTTCACCTCAGACCTCCCACAGAACAAGCCCCAGACTTGGTGGTGCTCAGGTGCTCAGGACTGTAGGTGGCATGGAGGAACAGCTGGGGTCAGAGGAACTTGGAGAGAGGAGAGCCCTTTTAAAAAGGTCAGTGAGGTCTGGGCCTCCTGACCCTGTCAAATGAGGGTATTGGATCTCTAAATCCCATGACCTCCCTGAGCCTTGGTTTCTTCATCTGACAAGTGGATTTGAGAAACCTTTCACGTCTACTTGACAGAGTTATTCTTAGGGCAGGCTTCCATAAATGACAAAGTACATTGGATCCATTGGGATGGTTATACTGAATATTAATAGATTGGTCAGGATAGGTCTCCGTCTCTGAGTTTGTCCCCTGGACCTTCTCTCCCTCTTTGAGATGCCTGAACTCCCCCGTCCCTTGATCAGGAAGGAGGAAGATGCGTCCCAACTCTCTGATGTAGCGGGACAGTGGGTGTGGAGTGTGATTCCACTGGGCTCCTTGTGCCCCTCCTTGCCCCTCCTTTCCTTTCTCCCTCCCTTCCCCCCATCACTGTGGTCTTCCTTCTATAGATGAGCCTGTCAGGGGTTGTGGGGAGGGAATTGCTTCCTGCTCTGAGCCCTCTTTTCTCCAGGCCTTGCAGTGGGCCTTGACCCTGGAGGCTATGGGAACTCAGACTTCTGTTGGATTTCCATCCATGATAAACTGGTCTGGAGCTTTGCTGGCCCCATTGTCCTGGTCATTTCGGTGAGGCCCTGATGTACCCCCAGTCCCAACCTCAACCCCCAACCCTAACTCTGTCCTTAATTCTGACACCTACCTGTTTGCTCCCCCTGGGGTCTGGGCTGGGGCTGGGGGCTTTGGGTGTTTGGTGAGAGGAAACACTGACTTAGGTGTCTATTTCTCTCCAACTGTTTGTCTCTATGGATCTTTCCCTGTCTTTCCATGTCTCTGTGGCTACACCTGACCCTTTGCGTCTGAATGTCTTTCTGTATTTTTCCATATCCGACTGATGCTGTCTTATTTTCCCCCATGTCTTTGTTCCATCACTCTCTCCTCTCTCTGTTTTCATGTGCCCCTTTCTGCTTCTGTCTTGCCATGTCTTTGCTCTCCATCTATCTGTCTCCATGCCCCACCTGTTGTGTGGCCAGATGAATGGGGTCTTGTTCCTGCTGGTGGCAAGGATGTCCTGCTCCCCTGGGCAGAGGGAGGCCAAGAGGATGTCTGTGCTGTGAGTTGATATCGAGGGATGGGTGGGACAATGTTGGTCCAGACTGAGCCCTGCTGGGCTGTAAAGAGGGTATGGCAAGTGTGACCAGGGCCTAGAACATATCACCATGGAGGGAGGTTTGGGGGAGTGGGAGAAGGAGGGAAGGTTGTTGGCTTGTGACTTAGGAAAGGGACTGCACTTGCCCTGTCCACTCTCCTCCCTCCCTCCGTAAGACTCTCCTCCTTCCTCCCTCAACTTCCCCATTAGATTCCTGTCTCTAGAAGGAAACTCTTCTGGTACAAATTCACCTCTTTGGACATCTGTTTTTATCCCTCTTGTCTTTGTTATTTTCTGTCGCTGCCTCTGTTTCTGTTTCTCTTTCTATCTTTATCTTCATTCCTTTGTCCCTATCCTGGCTTGTCTCTGTTTTTGTCCCTGTCTGGTTTTGGTCCCCATCCTCACCTCTTTCCCTGGCTCTCTCTGTCTCTTTGTCCTTATCTCTTCTCCTTCCCTCTGTCTCTCTGGCCTGCTGCTGTCTCCTTGTCTGTGCCCTTCTTCTTGTCTCTCTGTCCCTGTCTGGTTTTGGTCCCCATCCTCACCTCTTTCCCTGGCTCTCTCTGTCTCTTTGTCCTTATCTCTTCTCCTTCCCTCTGTCTCTCTGGCCTGCTGCTGTCTCCTTGTCTGTGCCCTTCTTCTTGTCTCTCTGTCCCTGTCTCTATGTCTCCTCCACATGTGACCCTTCACAGCTCCTTCCTACTGCTCCTGCTCATCAGTGCCTCCTGGCTCTTCGGTCTCCTGGCAGTCAACCATAGCGTCCTGGCCTTCCACTACCTCCACGCTGGGTTCTGCGGCCTTCAGGTGACCCTGCCCTGCCCCTTTGCCACAGTTACCCCCCCCAAGCTTCTCCACTACTCCCCAGGCTCCCCCCCTTCCTCTGAATATCCCTCTCGCTTCCATTTGTTGTCCCTTCACTGACTCCCCCTGTCCTCTGCCATTGCCACAGGGCCCAGCTGTGCTGCTGCTCTTCTGTGTCCTGAATGAGGAGACCCGAGGGGCTTGGACCTCAGCCTGTCTGGGCAGGAAAGCAGGAACGGAGGAGGCAAGGCCGACCCCGGGAACGGTGAGGCGATCTCGGGGGCATCGGTGGTGGTAGTGCTGTGTCACTACATAGGGGTGCTGGAGGCTTTTGGGTCCTGATTGACCATGCTTCCCCCCTCGCAGGGCTCTGGTGCTTACAACAACACAGCCCTGTTTGAGGAAAGTGGCCTCATCCGAATCACTCTGGGTGCCTCCACGGTGTCTTCTGTCAGCAGCGCTCGGTCAGCCAGAACACAGGACGGTCAGCGGGGCAGAGGCGGCCTCCTCAGGTACCGGAGGGACAGGGTTAATCTGGCAGTCCATGCAGGTTGGACCAGAGCGTGAGGAATGTCAGGAGCCCTGAGGTGTTTGTAGACTTCAGAGTTGAGGGTTGGAAGAATGTCCGGTGTCATCGATTCCTATCCCTTACTAGATCAGGAATTCTCACTCTGGCTTCCCTGAGGAAGGGCCTGGGTACGTTTCCTGGCCTAAATGTGGAACGTCTCCTTCTGTCCCCTTAGCTCAGCCTGAGACACAGTCAGGATTTTTACAAAGGCTTTATATACTTCCATCCTGGAGCAAAGGACTTCCCATCTCTGGGCCTCCATTTTCTCATCTATAAAATGGGGATGATAATAATCATATAACTTATCTTCCAGGGTTATGGTGAGAATCAAAGGGCCTTGAAGGAAGAGGATTTCAACAGAGATTTAGGGGGTTTGGGGGGTCAGATGACCCTAGCCATGAGGAATGATGAATACCAATGCACATAAGGTCAAAAAGTCAGAAAGAGGTTGGGGAACAGTGGGATATGGACAAAAAAGGAAGTAGTGGAAGATAAAACTGGCAAAATGAGACAGAGCCAGATTGTGGAAGGCTTTGAATTTCAGGATTAAGAACTAATATTTCAACATTTAAGGTAGTGGGGAGCTGCTGAAGTCTTTTGAGCAGGTCATTATTGTGCATTGCGACGATCACTTTGACAAGGCTAGGTAGGATGGGCACAAGGGGAAGGAGGCTGGAGGCAGGGACTAGCATTTCTCTGGGATGTCGTTTTACTTCAGGAGAAAGCCCAGCACAATCTCTTCTCCAGAATAAAGGAACTCGTCAGCCCTCTCCCAGCTCTTCTTTCACTGGACCCCATCCACTCTGATGCATCCTTGATTAGCCCCTTCTCTCTCAGTCAGAGAACATGTCACATCTTCAGTTGTGTGGGTGTATAAGACAGATAGTCACACCCTATGTAGGCCGCATCTTCTTTTTGTAAGGGAGGGGGCAGCAAAGTAGAATGAAGGTTTTTCGGGTCGGAGTGACCTATATGTGTTTGTGCCAAGGGGGAAGATTCTGTAGAGAGGGGAGATTAAAGATGCAGAAGAGAGGATGATTGAGGTCTCACTGACGGACATAGACATGAAGACAGGGACATAGGAAGATGCATAGAGACCAGGAGGAGGCAGTGGTCAGCAGTGTCAAATCCTCTAGGAAGTTGAAGGAAGATGAAGACTGAAAAAACACCATTGGAATTGTTGATTAGGAAGGAAGTTTACTAAAGAGAGAGGTTTGCTGAAGACAGCAGGTTCTTTTGAGTAGTAGGGATGGAAGCCAGATGACAGGGGGCTGAGAAAAGAGTGAGAGAAAGGGTACAGCAGTATAATATTCTATACAAGTCTGTCAATCAAGGAAAACAGAAAGAGAATTGTAGCTTAATAGGACGACAAGCTCTTCAGGGAAGATTTTTTTTTTTATAAAGGAGGCCTGGACATGTTTGTAGGTAGAGGACAAGGGAACAGTAGCTAGTGAGAGGTCGAGATTAGAAATGAAAAAGAAAGAAGGATGGAGCAAAGCCTAGAGTGAGATAGGAAGGGATGACACAAAATGGAGGGCTTAGCCTCAGAAAAAGGCTACCTAACCCTGTGGAACTGACCAGGAGGGAGACAAGGGGAGACAGGACAGAGATTTACTGTATGATTTTCTTTCTCTCCATTACATGTAAACAAAACCTTTTAACAGCTGTTTTTAAAAATTTTGAGTTCCCAATTCTCTCCCTCCCTCCCTCCTTGAGAAGGCAAGCAATTTGATCATACATATACAGTCATGCAGAACATTTCAGCATTAGCCAGAAAACACAGACCAAAAGCCCCAAGAGTAAAGATTGTAAAAACAGTATGCATTCAGACTTCATCAGTTCTTTCTCTGGAGATGAATAGCATTTTTTAACATAAATGACAGTAGTTTAGAGGAAGACTCAAGAGAGAAGGAGCTCACAGCAAGTGATTTTTCAATCTTTTTCAGTAAAAGAGGAAGTAAGGTTATCTACTGAAAGGTGTAGAGGGTGAAGTTTCAGGTTCAAGGAAATAGAAGGTTTGGAACAGCCTTTGTAGAGAATGACAGACTTTCAGAAGTAAAAAAAAAAAAAGATTATTTTGCAGTGGATGGAGTTTTGGGTCTAATTCTGTGTGCCACATTTCAGGAAGGATTTAGAAAGGTGTAGTGTACCCAGAGGAGGCAAACCTGGGTGGTCAGAGGCCTGGAGAACATACTCTATGAGGGATACTTGAAAGACTTGGAGATTTGTTATCATATTGCTTGCATTCTCAGCAGGTGCAAAAGAGTCAGGAACGAGGGAAAGCATTTGGAATTCAAAATTTAAAAAGAAATGTTAAAAATAAATAAATAAATGAACTTGAGGATGTTTAGCCTAGAGAAGAGGAGACTTAGCAGGATTGGAGAATTTGTAGCCCAGGGGACACACAATAAGACTTAGCACAGTGCCCAATACATTTAGGAACCTAGTAAATACTATTTGTCTTGCTAGCTGCCTTCCAATATTCAGTTTGTTGTAAAGGAAGACTTTTTAACAGCGTTCCAAAGTAGAATGGGATGCCTAAGAAGATAGCAGGTTTTCTGATTTAGGGAAGCCTCTAAGAAGAGGTTGGATAATCACTTATCAAGAGTGTTGAGGAGGTGATTCCCACTCAGACATGGGATGGAAGAGATGCCCTTGCAGGTTCCTCCCAGTGCTGAGGTTACTCTGGGATTCTCTGATAAGGTCTTTGCTAAAAAGATGAGGAATGTTTAAAACAACATGTAAATAAGGTTAGCCACATCGGTTACCCTGACTTGTCATCTCTGTCCTCTAGGGAGAATGTTTTGGCAAAACATGGCTCAGCTGCTGACCATACTGACCAGAGCCTTCTGGCCCATGGTGGGCCCACAGACCTGGACGTGGCCATGTTCCATCGAGATGCTGGGGGAGGTAGGGCTTTGAGGAATGGTGGGTTCAGGAAGTTTTTTGTAATCAGAGTGCTCATCTATCAGAATCAGGCCGGAGGGAGCCGAGGCACCACTGGGAATACCAGTTTTTTCCTCAGACTTCCTGGTTCCCTTGTCCAGTTCCCTCTTACTCCTGATCTTCCAAGTCTGTTCTAGCCTCTGTTCTCAAATAGTCTCTTCTAATGTCCACTGTCCCCCAGGCATGGGCTCAGACTCAGACAGTGACCTGTCCCTGGAGGAAGATCGTAGCTTGTCCATCCCATCCTCAGAGAGCGAGGATAATGTCCGACCCCGTGGCCGATTCCAGCACCCTCTTCGACGGGCGGCCCACAGTGAACGGCTCCTCACTCACCCAGCCAGCAGCACTCCCAAAGGTGACCCCAGTGACTCCTAGATGCTGTCATAAAACCCTCTGAACACCCTCAAATCACTTATAATAAACAAGTTATTAGTCTCAGTTCTCCTCTCCCACATTCCCCCTCCCTTTCCCCTTCATCCCTCCCTGCCCTCATCAATCTCTGTTACTATTGGTAGCATTTTTATGTGGCCCCTGTGGATCCATGGCTTTTCTCTATCTATGGCTATCCCATCTGGGATTATTGTTTTTCCTCTCTGGCTTGGATTCACTCGGCTGAGCTATACTCATGGCTAGGGTGACCTGTTAGGGGTCATGAGGAAGTAGTGTTGGTCAGAGTGTAATCCAAATCCCCACCTGCAGATGTGGATGGTAATGACCTACTGTCCTACTGGCCTGCCCTGGGGGATTGTGAGGTGCATCCCTGCTCCCTGCAGACCTGGGGATCTGAGCGTCGCCTGGGTCTGGATACCAGCAAGGATGCAGCCAATAATAACCAGACTGAACTGGCACTGACCAGTGGGGATGAGAACACAATCGGCCACACCCAGCTCAGCCACACCCAGCGACAGAGGAAAGGTAAGAGGATTGAAGAGCTCACTGGACTAACCCTCATGAACCCTCCCATCTTCCTCTTGGGAATCCTCTTCCTCCCAGATCCATCCACAGTGACCCATAGACCCTTCTTCACACCTCTCACCCTACCTCAGGATTCCTACAGATTGGCTCCAAGATTTGGTCCTGATGCCCTTCCAAAGACTTTCCCCATGGGATCCTAGACCCAACACCCAGGCCTTTCCCTTGGAACTCCTTCGGATTCCCCCCAGCTCCTACACACGTCCCCTGATGCTCTCTTAGTAACAACCCTTCCTCTCAAGATCAGCTTCCAAAGGGGGCTGGAAGCACTCACCTCTAGACTCTTCTTGGGATTTCTTAGATTTGACTCCTCCGTTAGGATCCTTGAGTCCTCTCACCCCAAATCCTCCCCCTAGAACTCCCCCTAAAATCATCCCCTCAGAGTCCCAGACCTTCCCCCCTAGTACCCTAAGATGCCTTCCTCAGAAACTTCTAGGATACCCTACCAGATGTCCCCCTGAAGACACTTGGGGCTCTCATAGTGCCTCTGAAATCTCTTTTCCCATTCCGTGAAAGTGTCTTCTTCCAGGTTGCCTTTGAGGGGGGATGGTAGATATCCAGACATTCACCCCCTGAAGGGGCCCTCTGGGGCGCTGTTGTCCCTTTGGCATGTATGCCCCCAGCTGCCACTAGCTTATATCCTGTCCACCCTCAGGTATACTGAAGAACCGGCTGCAATACCCATTGGCTCTCCATGGGCTGCCTTCTGCCAGAGCTCGAGGGGCTCCTGAGCTGTCCTGGTACCGGTCCTCTACCTTGGGCCACCGGGCAGTACCGGCTGCCTCCTATGGCCGCATCTATTCTGGCACAGGTAGCCTCTCCCAGCCAGCTAGTCGCTATTCCTCTCGGGAACAGTTGGATCTGCTGCTTCGTCGGCAGATGTCTCGGGAACAGCTGGAGGAGGCCACCCCTCTTCCCACGTACTCCACTAGCCGCCATGGCTCCCGGGAACAGTTGGAGAGGGTTCCTAGCTGTCATAGCTCGCGGGAACACCTGGAGACCATCCCTAGCCGCCATGCCTCCCGGGAGCATCTGGAGACTATTCCCAGTCGCCATGGCTCCCGGGAGCATCTGGAGACCATTCTCAGTCGCCATGGCTCCCGGGAACATCTGGAGAGCTCCAGCAGCCAACATGGCTCCTGGGAACATCTAGAAGCTTGTCTTGGTGGCCCAGAGCCAAGGTTCCGGGGTAGCACGCTGCCTCGAAGGCAGCCACCCAGGGACCATCTGGATGCCCTGGCCACCCGGTTTGGGTCCAGGGAGCCCTTGGACTCTGGGGCATCTCAGGAGTGGCCAAGCCCACTGCCCCACCTCAGGGGCTCCAGAGACCAACTCTTGCCTACCAGTCAGAGGTCTCGGGAACAGCTGGATTGTTTAGCTAGGAGCTCAAACTCTCCAGAACAGCTGGACATGAGGCCCTGTCGGCATCCATCAAGGGAAAACCTGGAACCACTCTCTAGGCGGCTCCCATCAAGGGAGAATGTGGTGACTTGTCCAAGCAGGGCCCCTTCCACTGAACAGTTAGACATCCTCTCCTCCATTCTGGCCTCCTTCAACTCCTCAGCTCTCTCCTCCTCTGTGCAGTCCTCCAGCACACCTTCAGGCCCTCACACCACCGCTACGCCTTCTGCCACAGCCTCAGCACCGGGGCACTCCACACCTCGGTCAGCTACGTCCCATAGTATCTCAGAGTTGTCGCCAGACTCAGAGTAAGTAGGGGACCAAGAGCCATTGAACCATTGTGTGCACCTGTCCATCCACTCAGCCACCCACCCACTCCTCCATCCCTCCCTCCAAAAGGTATTTATGGATGGATACCATGCCCTCCGAAGACCCTTTCTGTTCTGAAGTTTCATAATTCTAGGGAATATTTTGAAGGTATATAATATCTAAGACCTGGCAATTACTGAATGTAGGGGGTAAGGGAGAGGGAAGAATGAGGGATGATTGGAGATTTCAGGCTTAGATGATTAGAAAGAAGGTGATCCCAAACAGAAATCAGAAAGCTGAGAGAAGGGGTGAGTTTAGGGTGATGAGTTCCACTTAGGACATGTTGCATGCAGAGGAACATTTTAGCGATAGGGTCATAATAAAATAAGTGTCAGGTGCTTTGCAGACCTTAAATGTAAGCTATTATTATTATTCAGCAGGCAGTTGGAAATGCAGGCCTGGAACTCTGAAGAGTAGGATGGAGTATACATATATGTTTGGGAGCCATCTCTACCTAACCATATGAATTGATGAGGCCATCAGGAAAGAGTCTAGAGAAAGGAGAGAAGAGGAATTCAAAACAGAGCTTGGAGTGCTTTCAAAAATGGGAGGTAGAGGGGCAGCTAGGTGGCAAAATGGATAGAGCTTCAGCCTTAGAGTGAGTAAGACCTAAGTTCAAATCTGGCCTCAGAGGCTTGACACTTACTAGCTGTGCGACCTTGGGCAAGTCACTTAACCCTGATTGCCTCACCAAAAAAGAAAAAAAAAAGGAAGGTGGATATCGATGAGGGACAGATCCACCTTCCACTGACCTCTTTCTTTAGATTTAATTTTATTTTTCAGTTACCAGGCTTCCTCCTACCCCATCTCCTTCCCATTTCCCCTCCTCCCATTAAACAAAAATCAAAAAGAAAGAATGAATGAAAGAATAAGAAAACTCTCAAAACAAATATGTTTAGTCAAAGCAAATTCCCTCATTGGTCACGTCCAAGAATGTGTGTTTGATTCTGCATTTTGAGTTCCTCACCTCTCTGACAGGAGTAGGTAGCATGCCTCATCTTTGGTCAGCTAGAATTGTGGTTTATCATTGCATTGATCAGAATTCTCAAATCTTTCTTCTTTTTTTAAAATTCAATTTTATTTTATTTTCAGCTACAAAGTCTCTTCTTCTCACCTTCTTGTCCCCTTTCATTGAGAAAGCAAGAAAAACAAAACTCACTAGAAACATATATAGTCAAACAAAATGAATCAAGTCTTTTAGAGTTGTTTTTCTTTATAATGTTGTTATTGTATAAATTGTTCTGGTTCTGCTGACTTCACTTTGTATCAGTTCATGTAGGTCTTCCTAGTTTCTTATGGAACTATTCCTTTCACCATTTTGGGGGCTTAATATTTCATTACATTTCTATGCCATTAATTTGTTTATCCATTTCCCAATAACTTCTTCTCCTGACTTCTGACCATTCATCAGTGACCTTTGCTTGATCACTTATGACTGTTGAGCTTTGATCCCTGGGAAGTTTCTAAACTCTTTTCACCTTTTTGACTTCTATCCTTTGCAGAGTCACCAGAAGTGAGGGCCACTCCTGAGAAGCAGACAGCGGCAAAGGAGGAATGAACAGAATGAAAGGAGCAGGAGGTGGTTTGAAGGGAAGCACAGACAGATATCTCCAACACAAGTTTGGGGTCTCTTCTTTCTACCAGTCCTGGATTAGACAGAGGAGAGTTTGGGGTGTCAGGATCCTTTCCCCCTCTCCTCCGACATTCAGCCCACTCGCTTGTGAGAGGAGGGGCTCCCACTGGCCCATCCCAAACTGGATCTTCCTTTCTGTAACACTTGGGCACTGTGTGTGCATGAGTGTGCATGCTGGTGCGTGTTTGGGGAGGGGCCAGGGCCTGGGAGGACTTTTATATATTTTGTACCTTTGTAATTAGAGAGAAAGATGTCTATCCTTATTTTTAAGCTTTTCTGTCCCATGACTTCCCTGGGCTAGGTTGAGCTGGTCTGGTCTGGGGAAAAGTGGTTGGATTGGGATAAAGTAAGGAGCTACCAGGGTCTGTGGTCTCCCTCCATCCATCCCAAGGCTCCATTGCCCCCCATCTTTCTGCATTTAGCCTCCTCTCCCTGTGCCCCAGTGCCAATGATCCTTTCTTCAGCCTCATCAGACTTTCCCTTTTCCCTTACTCCTGTGAAGTCCTTCACATACCCTTCCTTGCAAGCTCCACCATACCACAGGATCATCATGGAGCTGGGAAGGACCTTAGAGATCATCTAATCCCACCCCCCTATTTTATTGAGAGAGAAAGTGATTTGCTTCAGATCACACAGGTTGGTTACATAGTGACAGAGTCAGGATTTGAACCCATGTCTTTTGGCTATAAATCCAGGACTCCTTCCATTATACTCCTTCTTTCCTGTTAGCCCACTCCTATCCTGCCCTCTTCAGGGTCTCCCCTGAGGGCTGGGCCCCCTGCAAAGGAAGCCTTCCCCTTCAGCCCTTTCTCTCATCTCAGAAGCTGGTGGGGGTGTGCCCAGCCTGTCTCTCTACCATTCCTCACATATACTTGTTCATAAGATTTTTTTGAACAGTAATTTCCTATTTTGTTTTCTTCTCTAGTGGCCTGAGAGCCAAACTCCTCCTGAAGGAGAATGCCCAGACCTCTAGAGCCTGCTCTAGGACAGAGATTGATGGAGGTGGTTCCTTCCTGGGCTGAGTTGATGCCTCAGTCCTTTCTTGTAACTGAGCTTGACAGGGCAGGGGAGAACCTCTTCCCTGCCCCAGGACCCCCCACTTCCTGGCCTTCAGGTTAGGGAGGAGTGTGTTCTCAGACTCAGCTTGTGGAGGGGGTGATAAACACAGACCATCCCTAGGCCCCGTACTAAACTACATGTATGTATGTATTGTGGAGTCACCCTAACCCCCATCCCCACCATTTACTGCCTTATAATCCTCCGGGCCCAAGCGGAGTTCAATATTTATTCAAGCAGCAGACAGAATGTTTACAAAGCAAGGCTCGCCTTCCTCGATTGTTGGGGTGGGGTGGAGGGGAAGGGCTCTGCCCCTTGGGGAGGGGGTGCCAGGCCTTTATTCAGATACATTCCATGGTGTCCTCCTCCTGCCTCCCAGGCTGGTCCAAGCTGCGAGAGACCCCTACACTCTGAAATTGGGGAGGGGGTAGTGGTTCTTTCTTTCCCTCCCTTAGGGACAGGAGGGAAGGAATGAATAGTCTGGGATGGAGTGGTTTGATTTTCTCATTCCCCTCCCCTCACCCCTCTGCCAGGCTGTTTATGGTTGGATGGGGGTACAAATTGGGGACGACTACCTCCCCTAATATGTTTACAGGAAATCCCTCAGGCTTAGTCCTCTGGTGACTCAGTTCTTCCTGTTTCTATATTTTCTTAAAAAGAGGAAACGTACTTGTTAGGGCTTCTTTCATAAAGTGGGTTTTTTTTTGTTTACAGTATGGAATTTTGGACTTTGTTACTCTGTTTACATTTTGGAACTATGGGACTTTGTTTACAATTTGGAACTTTGAAATTTTTTTTACTTTGTTTATGGTTAAGCTCTTTGGATTTGCTACTTTGTTTACAATTTAGAATTTTGGACTTCAAGTTACTTTGTTTACAGTTAAGAAAGGGGGAGAGGGGCTTAGATCTCAAGCTGGGGCTCTGCACTTGCCCCTTCCCCTAAATGTCTGTCAGCCCAAAGGGCATTCATTCCCCCTTGCTTCAAGGCCCCGTGCATGTGTTATCCCCTGGCTCATGCGGAACAGGGTGTTTTTGTCCTTAGAGGAAGAAGACTTTCTCCCTCTTACTTGAACAGCACAGTGCAGATTTGGAGGGCCACCATTTGCCAAGGAGATTAAAAAGTCCCGTCACCTATGAGTGCCAAATCCCCTTCCAGCCACATCCCTGGTCACCCATTCAGCTTGTCTTCGTGCTCCCGCACTTCAGTGCTGATTGTGCCCTAGGTTGGAGTGGGGGAACCGGGTCTGAGTGAGTGATCCCTCAGAAAAATATGATTCAGAGCTGGAAAGGCCCTCCGTGATCATGGAGTCCAACCATCTCATTTTACAGTGGGGAGCAGGGAGGGGAGACATTCAGAGTGGTTAAATGACTTCGAGGTCACAGCTAATAAGTGGCAGAGTTGGGGCTCAAATCCCGAGTCATTGCTCTTTCCACTACACATCCTGCATACTGTCCTTCCATTGCTCCCATTCTGTTAGCCACAGAGGAGGGAGGTTGTTTCCCTCTCCCTATCCCCAGCAGCCACTTCCTTATCTGTATAAATTGTGAAAGCCCGGGGAGGGGGTTGGGAATAAACTTCTATAGAAAACAGCTTCAGCCTCCATCTGTCCTGAGGAGAAAAAAGGGGAGGGTGGGTATGGGTGCTGGGGGTTTTCTAACCATGGTGCCAAGGCCTGGAGTAGCCCAAGATATGTCAAGCCAGGGATGACCTGGCTTCAGTGATAGATGGGATAGAAGAAGGACTTCCCTTCTAAACGAATCCTGAACTATTTTTAGCTTCATTCCTTACCCCACCCCCATCCGGGAAAACCTCAATCTAGGCTTCAGCTAAACTACGTCTCTGGTGTTGGATTTACCCGTTAGTCCTTCACGTCTGATAACATAATCTCTGCTACTTTTCTCCTTTTAGACCTCTAGTCACTGGGTAATAGATTAACTGCTAGAGATTTTCTAGCCTAAACCTCTCATTGCACAGGGGAAGAATGTGAAACTCAAACCAGCTAAATTGCCCAATGTCACAACTAATTTAGTAGCAGAACTAGAACTCAAATCCAGGTGATCTGACTCCAAATTCAATGCTTTTTTCACTAGGTAAAAATATGAGAAAACCTGCTCACCAAATTTGTAGATGATCTAAAGCTGGGAGGTATATTTGGAATCATAGAATCTGGCTTGCAGAGAAGAGAGGAGCCTTCAAGAGAATTTCCTCTAACTCTCTAATGTTATATAGAAGGGGGAGCTGGGAGCCCAGAGGAGGCAAGTGATTTACCTAAGATCTCACATTGAGTTAGTGGCAGCATCAGGATTAGAACCCAGATCTCCTGACTCCAGGGTTCTTTCCACTGCAGTATGACATTCAGAACCAAGGTCTAGTGAAGAAACAGTGATAAAAGATACCAGAATTGGGATCCAAGAACATTGCAACAGGCTAGAAGTCTGCTGAATCTAAGAAAGCATATAATTAGGATAAATGTAAATTATTTTTGACTTTTTAGAAAGTCATTTAAAAAAATCTACGTAGCAGCTAGACATCATTTCACATGACAAGATTTGAGAGTTTTAGTGAACTAACCCTTGTTTGTGTGACACAGGGTATAACTTCAGGGACCTCTAAACTTCTCTTTAGTAGAGTCTGGAAATGTCAATAACACAAGGTCCCTTTGAAAGCACTCAAGCTCATGAAGCATCAAACACAGAATGGGTTCTAATTATGAGGTAAAGGATATATGAAGGACTTAGATCGGATTCTTGCCTTTACAGAGGCAAGAACACTCCTTTTCTCTACCTTAGAGATCTGTACAATTCCAGATAGGACTTTCTCCTCTTTAGCTCTCTTTCCACAGATGCTCCCTGGCAGTTCTTCTCCCCCAAGAGATAGTGCCAACACTCCAATTGCTGATATGTGGTGAGATTACCTGGAATCTAAGCTGCCAATGTCAGGCTCTAGGCTGTTTACTCCACCTTTTACAAAGGGTCTCCTAGCCCTACCCTACTAACAAAGGGCCTCATAGGTACTGCCCTGCTCAAGTCAGTCTCTCACTCTGAGTTAGGGTGAAGTCATTTCACTCAGCTCCCATTTACAGTTTCAATACCTCCTCCTGAATCTTGGGGACATTAAAAAGATATTCCATTTGCCTTTACACTACTGTCTAAGTTTTGGGGGCAGCTGGCTGGGCCATACAAATTGGCCTGAGACAATTTCAAGAAAGAACTGGAAAAGAGAGAGGGGAAACCTCATTCAAAATTGTTTTAATGGTCTGTAGGTAGATTGTGGTCCTAAGGTAGCTCTCAAACTTCCTCCAGTGCTGAGGGCCTTAGAAACTTGGGTTATAATGACATGTTCATAATTTCATCACTGGGGAAAATAATCTTTTTTTTTTTTTTTGCATTCTTCCTCAGGAAGAACTATCAAGACAAGGTAGTGTGTGGGACAGTGACCCTAACCCAAATTAAACTCAGAGACTTCTCAAGGCGGAAAGCAAAGGTTACCTTTATCACAATCTTGAGAGATGGCTGTCTGCTCCTTGGATACAGAAGAACCGAATAACAGGGGCCGCCTTATAAAAGCAAATCTCCACCCACCACTATCCCTTACCCCCTTAACTGGGGGTGGGCTTACATTCTAACTGGGAGGTGGGGCTTACATTCCAGGCCCAAAATTCAGAGAGAAGGAAAGAGGCAGGAAGCCAAGGGCAAAAGGCTCAGGTGGGGGGGGGTAGGGCTTTCTGTTATGTGCTTAAAAACAGGGTCTGAGCGGGGGAGGATTTTGAAAATAATAATCAAAAATTATTAACCTTTTGAGGAGGCTTCACCTCTGAGAGTTCATCTCTCACAGCAGCAAATTGCTTTTCCAGGCCTGTACTTCCCTCAGTCCCTCTCTAGCCCAATGGGCAATATTTCTCTATACCTGCCACATTTAAAAATGTTAGGGACAGTGGCATCTCCCTCAGAAAGCCCCTTTTCCTTGTCCATGATTTCATTTTCAGTATTTTGGAGTGACTTAGCCAGTAACCTTAATTAGCAATTTTTCCTGTAATTGACATCACTTGAAAATTATAGGAATATAAAATGTCTGTGAGAATAAGAACAATGCAAATAATGTTACTGTCAAATTTTAGATGGATTCCTCGGATAATTAACTGTGACTAAATATAATCCTGGCCTTGTTGAAAAGGTAGGAGAGAGAGTCTGTATCTTGAGTTTATAATATGGCATTGTAGTCAAAAAATCTAAGGTTGAATCAAATGAAGTGAAGAGACCTGGGGTGGTGAAGGTTGGAGTCCTGCTGTTCTTTGCTTTAGCCAGATCACACTGGAGTATCACATTTTGTCCTGGGTGCCCCATTTTAGGAAGGAAATTACCAAATTTGAGCTTGTGCAGAACAGGGTGGCCAGGATGGGGTGGGGGGTTGGACTGAAGATCCTGCATAAGGATCCATTGAAAGACTGGGTTGTTTATGCTGAAGAGAAGACTGGTGTGACACAATAGCTATCTTCAAATACTTGAAGGGCTGATTCTGGGGAAGAGGAATTTGGCTACTTCTACTCTGCCCTAGACAGATTTTGCCTTGATATGAGGAAGCACTTTCTAACTAAAGCTTTCTCAACAATGGAAGATGTTGTGTTGCTAAGTGGTGAACATTCTTTGCAGAAGGCCCTTCCGAGTTCCCTTTAGCTTGTGCCTTCCCCTTGGAGATTACCTTCTATCTACTCCAAGTATATCTTGTCATTTACATACTTTATTCTCTATTAAAATATAAGCTACTTTAGGACAGGGAACATATAAAGACTTCTTGCACGTAGTAAATGTATTAAATACTTTTTGACATGTTCAAGCTTAGGCTAGATAGATGTTTACATATCTTTGAAGGTTTAGGGAGTGGCAGGGTTCTGTTTGAGGTCCCTTCCAATTCAGATGTTTTGGTTTCAGATCCTATCTCCAGTCCTGGGATCTCAAACAAGTTTGAAGGCTGAAGTCTTTGATTAGCTGAAGAGTTCTTTGTCTTCCTCTTACCCCTGCAGTACCCCTGGGTACCCTAACCTCTTACTCCAACTGGTTCTGTGAAGGTTGATTTTCCCTCAGCCTTGCCCTGTAACATCACTCCCCTCTCTACATACAGGGGTTGGTGCTGAGGGGCTGAATATTGTGTGCCCAGCTGTTGAGATTTAGGGGTGTTGGGACCCCAAAATCACAACACGCAGGTCCTGCCTGAAAGAATTCAACCCAAGCCTTCTTTCAGCCAAAGATAATGCTTATTAGAACATCTGTCATATTGGGCAGACTGTTTTTTTTTTTGGCGAGGCAACGGGGTTAAGTGACTCACCCAGGGTCACACAGCTAGTAAGTGTTATGTGTCTGTGTTCGAATTTGAACTCAGGTCTTCCTGACTCCAAGGCCAGTGCTCTATGCACTTCTCCACCTAGCTGCCCCTGGGCAGACTCTTAAAAAGTCTGAACATTAGTAAGCTATTGGCTAGATTATAGGAATCTGAGCAGTGGCTAGATTGTAAGAATTTGAGCACCTTATATACAGAAAGACTGTGGGAGTGGCCAAGTAGTTTGGGGTGACTGGAGGAGGGGTCTAAAGAGCATCTGGATGGGAGTGGCCAGTAAGCTGGAGTGAACAGAACTCCTGGAACCTGGACCTGAAGGCCAAGGGAGAATAAAGCCCAGCTAGGATTATGGGTAGGAAATGGCCTGGGGCCATGGGGAGGTAAGACAAAGGAGGGCTGGGCTAGGTTAAGGATAAGAGAGAATTGGGAGATTGGGTGTAACCACAATGAAAGGCCAGTTGATGGAATTATAGCCTCAGACAAACCAGAAATCTGGCCATGTGGGAAAGTCCAGGGTTTCTCCTTTTTGGGGTCTAGATCCCATCCTCATCACAGCCACTGGATAAGCATTACAAGGGGGAAAGTGTAGGTATCCCAGGTCCCTAGGATCACAAATTTATACCCTATCTCTGCCTCTAGGCATAGTGCCCAAGGGCAGAAGACAAGGAATATGCTTGGGGCCTGGCTGAGAAACAACACTGAAGTACCCATTCCATAACCATGACTGACCTTTCCTGTACTCCCTTAGCTCTCCAAGCCAAACCAAATCAACCCCCTGGCCCTCTGCCTTTCCTTTCTCTTCCTAGGGCAACTCTGGTCTGAATTCCCACCTCTAGAGGCACCAGCCCTTGGAGGTCTAGGACCCTTTCCCCTGATCACATTTGGCCCTGAACCTTCTATTCTGATCTGGCGGTAATTATAAACAGTCCCAGTTCCAAGTCTGATGGTGACCCACTGACTACTTAGCTCCATGCCTCACCTGACTGCCAAGCTTGGCCTGGGAATGGTCTCTTCTGCCTCCCTGTAGTTAGTCAAAGACTCATAGAATTGTGGGGCAAAGGGGTAGAAGAGGGCTGCTTCTAACTAGTCATAGACTTTCAGAATTAGAAAGGATCCTAAAGATAAGCAAGGCGGCTACTCATGTTTACAGAAGACACTAATGCAGTTTCTGGGGGCACCCCCCCCCACTGCTCATAGGGAAATCTGATGGATATTCCAGGTTCGTGGTACTACTAGCCCCTGAAACTAGTGAACTCCCACTGATGTGTTTACCTAGGCAGGCAGCTAGGTGGCATAGTGAGTGGACTGCTGGATCTGGAGTCAGAAAGACCTCAGTTCAGACCTGGCATGAGACCCTTAAAGGCTGTGTGACCCTAGGCAAGTCACTCAACAGAGAGCAAATAATCTCTGTCTGCCTCAATTTCCTCATCTGTAAAATAGAGCTAACAATAGCACCTACCTCCCAGGGTGGTTGTGAGGAGAAAACGTGAAAATATTTGGAAAGCCCTTTGCAAATAGCTTATATTGTTATCATCCTGGACATTAATGTATTAGCTGGAGGACATGGTTTATTCAAAGCCAAGACACTTAATGAACACCCGCAGCAAGAAAAGTAGCAACAAAATATTTCTCCCATAAACCTGGAGGCATGTAATACATATTGCATCAGTGAGAAGAATGCACACCCATGGGGGACACTTCACAAAGGGAACAGGAGTGTGTGGGGGGATATAGGTAGGGAAAATAAGGCCAAGATATGCCTGCACCCAGCCCTCTACCAGTGCCCAGAGCCACTGATGTCTACCAGGAATGTTGCTGCTCTATTCCCACAAGGCAGCTGCTGGTCTCTGATCTCAGCTGGACACAGGATCTCTGTCAGCTACTGTCCTGTTGGATTGTGGTCCATTATTTTTTTCACAGGGCGAGTGGGCACTGTCCTACTTTATTAGTTTAAAGCTTAAAGGGGAGGCTTTTCTCTGGCTCTTTTAGAAAAGGTAGGACTTTTGCCCCAGAGCCAGCAGAATGCCTCTCCTGTTTTGTTCCCTCAGTATTGGCTACTGAGGCCTTTCACCTTCCTGGCAGGATAACCTCAGACAGAAACTGCTGAGCTGTAGCAAAAAACTCTTTGAACTTTTCTTCCCAGGACTTGAAGCTTTCATCAAGGTTCCTTATCCTAGTTAATAGTGAGCAATTCATATATTTCACAATTTTCATGGTAAACCCAGTAATTACCAAATTACCAGAGCTTGGAATTTCCTGTTGGAATTGGAAATTCCTGTTTTTTCCAACCCTCATTCTCTTCTTCCAAGCAGATTAGTGAGTAGAGGAAAGCCCAGGCACAAGTCAAACAACCCAGGGGCAATTATCTCTGCAACAGCCTTAGGTACCAGCTAAGCTACATTCCTAGCCTAGCCTCTTTCTATGTTCCAACAGCCAGAGTCTGAAAAGGACATTTTCCAAGGTCATCCAGCTGACCAATGACAGTCTGGACCAGAACTCAGAGCTCCACGCAGAGTGTTTCCATTGGTGGCTTTTCCTTTCCGAGTTCCTCAGTCATTTGCTCCGTCTTGGACTCCCAGAGAGACGGATTCCTGGGGAAGACCTACATATTTCTAATCATTGGTAGGTATGTGTAGTTATAGAGTTGAGGGGGGGAAGGTGGAGGGGCAAGGGGTCCTGTTTTGTGCTCTGAAGGGGAACAAAAGGGGTGGGTGATTAATCAGACTGAAAGCTGGGCATAAGGGAGGCACTCTTATGGAATCCCTTTCCCAGGTCTCTCTTTCCAGACATTTCTGGATAACTGATGTTGGCTTGAGCCCAATCTACATTTTTCTTGTAGATGTTTTCAAATCATTGTCTTATGTATTTGTGTCTTGAGCTTCCCTGTCATCTTACTAGCTCTTTATGGCCAAATTCTTTACTTTCCCCCTCATTTTCCAGCCTCATTCTTGTATTTTTTTTTTGTTACATATTTTATTTTTTCTAATTACACATAAACCCTTTCCTGCTCTGAGTACTAGTTTAGGTATCCTTTTCCATTTCTTTCAGTCCCAGTGCTTCCCGCTCTGGAGTTTTCAATTCCTTTTCAGTTCTGAGTACAGCAATGTTTCCAGCCCTGCTGCCGCCACTGCTACTACTGGGGTCCTGGTCTGCCCCCATTGCTCTCTGGCTGTCTTCCCAAGCTGTTGGGAAGATAAAATGACTCACTGTGACTTTCCTCTTGGTTTTCCTGATCAGAATCTGATCTGGCACATTTGTCTGGGTTGTTATGGAGGTATGTTGGGAGAACTAGGCAAAAATACTGACTCTTTTTCCTAGGTAATTGATTTAGAGAAAGGGTTCTTATTATTGTTTGGGCACCTCAGTTGTGTTGACTCTTTATGACCCCATGTGGGGTCTTCTCGGCAAAGATACTGGAATGGTTCTGCCATTTCCTTCTCCAGCTCATTTTACAGATAAGAAAACTGAGGCAAACAGGGATAAATGACTTGCCCAGTATCATGCAGTGAATAAGTATTTGAGGTAGGATTTGAACCGAGGAAGATGAATCGTCCATGCTTCAGATCGGGCACTCTATCTGATGAGGTCTAGAGGTTTAGGGGTGCTGAGACCCCGAGATCACGACATGTGGTGGGTCCTGCCTGAAAGAATTCGACCCAAATCTTCTTTCAGCCAGAGACAGGCCAGACTCCTAAGGAATCTGAACATTAGTGATGCCCATAAGGACAAGCAGGCATGAGAAAAATCTCAGCATTTATATGGAAGCTAGGGTGCATCTTATATACATTCAAATAATTTTGGGTGTTTGGAGAAGGGGCTGGGAGAAAGAGCCTGAAGCTGAGGTGAGTTTAGGGAGAATTCTGATTGGAGTGTCTGGCAGGTTGAACAAAGGGAATAGATAATGAAAGGACCTGGAAGGAAGAGGTTTGAATGGGGTCTGGATAAGATCAAAGTTGGGAAATATACTAGGGCTTCCTTAGATTTTCAAAGGGAGATAGGGAGAGTAGAAGAGGAAAAGCCATTGAGTGGAATATAGCCTGAGGTAACCCTAGCTCACATTAATGTTTCCAAATCCATAAAGTGCATAGAATTACAAAGAAAACCAATATATATGGAAATATGGTTGTTAAAATATTTTTAAAAATGAAGTCCCACACAGATGCTTGAGTGAAGGGAGCAGAACCATTGTTGTACACAGTAACAACCACGTTGTGCGATGACTAATGTTGATAGACTTGGCTCTTCTCAGCACTGCAAGGATCTAAGACATCTCCTAAGGTCTCATGATGGAAAATGTTATTCACATCCAGAGAAAGAACTATGGAGTTTGAATGCAAATCAAAGCATACTACTTGCTATTTTTTTCTTCTCTTTCGTTTTGTTTTCTCTTTCTTATGGTTCCTCCTATTGGTTCTAATTCTTCCTTACAACATGATTAATGTGAAAATATGTTTAATAGGAATGTGTATGTAGCGCCTATATTAGATTGCGCGCCGTCTTGGGAAGGGAGGTGGGGAGGAAGGGGGAGAAAAATTTTCAACTCAAAAGCTTATGGAAGTGATTGTTGATAAATTAAAATAAATTAATAAAAAAAAATCAAGTCCACAGGTATCTACTTTAAGGACCCTCAGACCAGGGTCTGAGAAGAAGCCGCGGATGTGGGTGGCAACCCTAAGGCAAAAGCGTGCTGTGGTAGGGAGCACGTGACAGGACCACAGGCGTCCCGCCGCTACGGGTCTCTGGGAGGGACAAATGCGGGCGGTCACTGCCTGGGCTCCTGACCTCCCTCTCAGCCCCTCGCCTTTAACGAAAGAGGGTCTCTGGAGAGGAAGGAGTTAAAGCTCCTTCTTGTCAGCCCCGCCTTCCCCGTTGCGTCACGGCATCCGCCCTAGACCTGAGCTCTGATTCGTAGACATCCTACCGTACGGTGCGCTGATTGGCCGTTGGGAGGGCGCACGGCACACCGTCGTATCCCGCCTCCTCCGTGGCCGGCAAGGAGCCCAAGTGAATCAAAGCCGGGTCGAACGCGGGAGGCCACTCTGAACTTTGGACTCGGACTCCGCCTTGCCATGGGGCCGCTGGAGCCGCCCGGGTGAGTGGTACCTGCGGCGCCGGTGCAGCCCTGGCCCTGCGGGTCCGACTGGACTGATCTTTCCGGCTCCGACTCCAACGTGACTTGGCTTCTCACCCACGAGCCCGGGTCACCCTAAACTTGAACTTTGACCCCCGAGCCGGCAAATGCCTCTCCCTCCCCCACTTAGAATCCTCCCCAGTCGCTTCTTACTCTTCTCCCCAGAACTAGTTATCAGATCTCTGACCCCAGCCGATCCCAACCTAACTCTGTATTTTTGACCTCTGACGTCCAACCTTGATAGCCCTAGTTTCAGACCCTGGCCTGACCTTTGACCCCCGCCTACTTATCGGATCCCCATCCAAACCTTTGATCCCAGCCCACTTCTCGGGGTGGTGGTTTCCCTATTCGAGCTTTGACCTTAAACCTGACCTTTGACCGCACTGAAAATTTTTTTTTATTTGATTTTGATTTTTTTCCAGGCTTTCCCGAACTCCTCCCTCGAGTGTTTCCTATGGTTCTCTTCGCCTCCCCCCAAGTCTGTTGTCTGGGTTGGTGTTTCTCATGTTTGAGGCAGGTCCAAAACAGGTCTAGAGATGTTCAGGCTTGTGTGGATTGTCAGAGGTGGGGGAACCTTGTTGCAGGGTGGAGAGGGACAGAGACAAGAGAACAGGGGCTGCTGTGCTTCTAGGACCCCATGCTGATGGAGTCTCCTTGAGGAGACACAGGAGGGTGAGTCCCCTCCTCCTCCCTCCTTGTGCCTCACCTAAGGCTCTGCCCTCTGCCTTGGATTACCTTTGCCCCCTCCCCCACCCCCCAGGATCACCTTCCTAACCCCCAGCCCTTGGCGTAGTGCTTTTCACATATGTCGTGAGACTTGAATAAATGTGAATTTGAAGCTTTGTCCCATGGAAGGGGGATTAGACCTGCTCTGCTTGGCCTTGGAGGACAGTTAGGATCAGAGGGAGGAGGCTTCAGAGAAGCACATTTCTTTTATCCCAGAGTGGACTGGGCTGCCTCAGTAGGTGGTAGGTTCCCTGTCACTTGAGATCCACAGGCAGAGGCCAGATGTAGGTAATAGGGGCTTCCTCCTCAGGGAACAAGTTGGACTCGATAATTCTGTGATTTTGTCCTCACCTGTCTCTGGGCCCATCTTTGATGGACCTTTGGTTCATCATTGATTTATTCTTGGGCTCCTCCAGAGTCTGTTTCCATGTTGTTCGTTGGGAGTCTCAGCTCTTTCCTCCCCAGCTGTATGGTGCTATAAACCACCAAGTAATTTTAAACAGAATCATCAGCATGTGGTCACTGAGCTATGCCCACCTAGTTTCTTTTTCTTTCCCTGGGGTCCTGTCTTGATGACAGAGCTCTTAACAAGATCAAAGAACAATCAGTTAAGGACTGATGCCGAGCCATAGACTAAAGACTCAAGAGGCTCAGGAGAGGAGAGAGCACTGCGGGCTCGAGGAATGTGTTCAATTTTTGGAAACGTCATTCTTTACTAAGTATCTACTGTGTGCAAGGCACTGTGCTAGATGTTGCAGATACACAGACAAAAAGTAAACAGTTCTTGCCCACAAGGAGCTTACATTTGGGGAGAAGGGGCACGACATAGCCACAGATGAGTTAATAGAAAGTAATCAGAAGTAGGAGAAAATGCTAAGGGTTGGGGGCTCAGGAAAGACTTCATTCACATAGGATATTGCACCTGAGCCTTGCAGAAAACTAGGGCTTGTTAGAGAAGGCATTTAGAATGGGGTGCATTCTAGGTGTGGGGGCTGGCCTTCACAAAGGGATAACAAAGAGATGGCAGGGTCAGATGAACTTTTTTTTTAAGGATCTGGGAAAATGGGTGAATTTGTAGATGTCAGGGAAGGAGCCAGTGGATAAGGAATATTGAAGTCTCAAGAGGAAATGGTTGAGACAGAAAATGAGAAGAAATGAAATCATACACAGAGTCTAGCCCGGTGCCAGACATATTGTGGGTACATAATAAATTCTTGCTGATTGATTGATCAGTTGAGAGGCTGGGTTTGGTAAAGATCCTAGGTTCTTTAGATCTAGAAAGGGGCCTTAGAGATCATCTAATGCAGTCTCCTCGTTTTAGAGATGAGGAAATTGAGGCACAGAGAAGAGTTTAAGGTGGGGGGGAGGGAAGGGAACAAGCATTTATTAAGTGCCTGCTGTGTGCCAGACACTATTCCACTATGCTTAGATTTCATTTGATCCTCACAACGACCCTGTGAGGTAGGTGCTGTTAGAGGAAACTGAGGCAGACAGAGGTTAAATACTTGCCTAGCTAGTGTCCGAGGCCGGATTCGAACTCAAGACTTCATAAAGCCCGGTGTTCTATCTACAAGGTCATTTAGGAAGGAAATTACCTGAGGCAAAATCCAAACCTAAGTTGTTTGACTCCAGAGCCTGTGCACCAGTCTTCTCAGAGATTGGAGCTGAGGAGAGAGAGAGGGGCACAGAGAGAGAGAGAGAGAGAGAGAGAGAGGGTTTTTAAGGTGTAGAATAGGGGAGAAGAGGTTAGTAATGTATGGGTTCTATATTTTCAGTGAAAGGGGGCAAAGTCCTCCAGTGTGTGTGTGGGTGATTGGTAGTTTATGTCTAAGTGTCAAACTCATGACCTACCAAAGCTCAGAGTGTTTAACAAAATAAATAAAAATACAGTGCAACATAGATAATGTTAACTTGTGGTTTTCTAAGTGAAAATGAGGCTGCAGGATTCTGTTTTTATTTGAATTTGACAGCACTGGAAGAATCTTGAGAGAAGAAAAGGTTCAGAGTAGTACCTTCTATGGAAATCTTAGTGTACACACACAGGGGTATGACATGGACATGATTCAGCAAAGGAGACTGGGGAGTGGTAAGAACCAAGTGGAGGAGAGCCAAGAGAGAGCAGTATCACAAAGATCCAGATGTGAGAGAGTATCTAAGAGCAAAGGATAATTAGTTATTAGTGTCAGATGCCAGAGGGTATGATAAAAAAGACAATCAGGGAAAAATAAAAAAGATTGCCGTGCAGCAGCGAGGCTCTGTTTATGATAAGTTCAGAAGTTTGTGGGTTGTGAAAATGTATTTAATAGGAATGTGTTATGTAGAGCCTGTAACAGATTGCATGCTATCTTGGAGAGGGAGGGGGAGAAAAATTTAAAACTCAAAAAGCTTATGGAAGTGATTGTGGATAACTCAAAAGAATAAAAAAAAGACATTAAAAAAAAGTTTGTGGTAGATCCTGTTTGCAAAGCTTAGTGATTTTCTCTTATAGAATTCAGCCCCATGGAAGGAACAGATGGTGGGAGTAACTCAGGATTAAGGATTAGCAAAGCATGAGTGGCAAAAATACCAGACAAGGGGCAAAGCATTCAAGAGTAGAGGGCAGTGTCTTGTAGAAATGGCTAATTAGAGGGTGAGAGCTGAAGAGAAGAGTGTGGAGTCACATCAGGAGTGATGGGCTAGGAGAACAGGGAAGGAGTGAGGGACTAGAGGTTTTGGGGAAAAGAAAGAATAAATTTGGGAGGAGCGAGGCATTAGGAGAAGTGGAAGGACAGGAGGCTTTGATTGGAGAGGAGAATGTCGGAGTGGAAGGTTCATGGAAATTGAACATGGCGCTGGTGAGATCTGAAGTAGGGCCATTTCCCTTGGTGTCTGATGTAGAGTGGATGTCAGAGGAGCCAAGGAGGGAGAGCACAGGGAGTTAGAAGGGTCTTCAAAGTAGATATTGAAGTCTCTGAAGAGAGCGGCAGGAGAAGAGGAATCTGTGAACTAGAGGCCAAAGACTACTTGGGGATGTTTGGAAAGTGACTTGGAGTTCAGTAGATGGCAGTGTCAGGGATGGGAGAAGAGTGATCTGCATGGAATGAACTTCAAAAGACCACAGCTTCCTAAGTGCCCGTAGCAGAGTGGGGGTGGGGTCTGGGAATGATAGTTGTGGGACCGGGGAAGGGGAGCAAGGAATATGTCCACTTCTCTTCCTGTCTCAGAAGTTTTGAACAACATGAGAAAAGTAGTGAGTGGTAACGGAGGTGATGAGGAATGAGATGTCTTTAGAAGACCAAGTTTCCATGACCACACAAAGATAGAAGGAGTGTCAGAGAAAGAGCTCTAAGGTGAAGGCAAGTTTGGTAAAGGATAGAGTGGGGTCACAGGGGCAGAGTGGAAGGAGACGGGGAACAGAGAATGGGGACTTGGGAATGTGGCATAGTGAAAAGAATACTGGCCTTGGGTTCAAATCCTGCCTTTCACACTTACTGTCTGAAAATGGGGGTGATATTTCAGAGCTTTGTTGAGGTTCAAATGAGAAAAAGTCTGTAAATCACATTGCAAACTTTAAAGTGCTATATAAACAGTTGTTAAGTCATTTTTATTTTGAGGATGAGAGTTTAGGGACAGGTAGCAAGAGTTCCAGGTCTAAAGTCAGGAAGACTTTAGTTCAAATCCAGCCTCAGACACTTACCAGCTATGTGACCCTGGGCAAGTCACTTAACCCTGTTTGCCTCAGTTTCATCACGTGTGAGATGAGTTGGAGAAGGAAATGTCAAACCACTCCAGTATCTTTGCCAAGAAAACCCCAAATGGGGTCATGAAAAATGGGACAGCTAAAAAATTTACATTTCTGAAGGTCACAAAATGACCAGATGAGGTAGGTAGTTTAAGTGTCATTATCCCTGTTTTACTTATGGGAAAATTGAGTCTTCCAAGAGGGGAAGGGGCTTGTTCAAAGTCACACAACTCATAATTGTTCATTATTTTTTTCTTTTCTTTTTCTTTTTTTGGGGTAGAAATGGGGTTAAGTGACTTGCCCAGGGTCACACAGCTAGTAAGTGTTATGTGTCTGAGGCCAGATTTGAACTCAGGTCCTCCTGAATCCAGGATCTATCCACTGCGCCCTCTAGCTGCCCCTTATTCTTTTTTTAAAATTAATTTATTTTTAGTTTTCAACATTCACTTCCATAAGATTTTGAGTTTTAAATTTTCTCCCCCTTCCTCTTCTCTCTGCCCCCCAGCATGGCATGCAACCTGATGTAGGCTCTACTTATGCATTCATATTAAACATATTTTCACATTAGTCATGATGTAAAGAAGAATTAGAGCTAATGGGAGGAACCATGAGAAAGAAGAAACAAAACAACAAAAGAAAAGGAGAACAAATAGTATGCTTCCATCTGCATTCAGATTCCAAAGTTCTTTCTCTGGATGTGGATAGCATTTTCCATCATGAGTCTTTTGGAGTTGTCTTAGATCCTTGCATTGCTGAGAAGAGCTAAGTCTATCAAAGTTAGTCATCGCATAATTTGGTTGTTACTGTGTACAATGTTCTCCTGGTTCTGCTCGTTTCACTCAGCATCAGTTCATATAAGTCTTTCCAGGTTTTTCTGAAGTCTGCTTGCTCATCATTTCTTATAGCACAATAGTATTCGATTACATTCATATACCACCACAACTTGTTCAGTCATTCCCCAATTGATGGACATCTCCTCAATTTCCAATTCTTCGCCACCACAAAAAGAGCTCCTATAAATATTTTTGTATATGTAGGTCCTTT